ATTCCTAGGTTGCCTTGGATACTTAAAAGTACTTTGAGTATTTGTAAACATGCATATGTTAGCATGTTAGAGCATCTCCAACCGTTGTGTATATATTTTTGTGTAAATCTAATGTGTCAGAGTAGATTTACACAAAAATTTTGTACTATCTATTTTTAGCTCCAACGGTTGTTTTATGCTTTTTGTGTAAAAAAATATCCCCAATAACAACCAACTACGTATCATACCCAAGACCCTACAAAACTTTTACAAACCTACTTGATTCACTTTACTTTTTGACGATTAAACCTTACGTCCCAATCCTCCTCAATTAGGAAAAAAATAATAATTTCCCCCTATATTTCACTTTACCCTCTCAAAATCCACCCAAATCTGAATGTACTATGCAAAATTACCACCTTCTACCAACCAGATTTGGTGCTAGGAAACAAATTCAAACAATAATTCCAGAAAGGATTGGCATAAAAATCCGAGTACAGAAAGCAAAAATATGCAACAACAATTGCGATTAAATTGATTAATCACCAAAAAGAAAAAAGAAAATAATTTCTATAACTGTATCAAACAACAATTATATACAAACGTGATTAAAATATATATCTATTTTTTGGCTAGTACATATTTATCTCATTAGAATATAATGTAAAAGAATAAAAAATCTAAAAAAAACCTTAGAATCTACAGCGATGATTGCAGAAGATAAGATCAAATGAAAGTGATAAATCAAAATATGTTTATTAAAAATAAATAAATAAATAAAAGATGGTCAAGTAATTCTTAACTTACCGCTAGTTGCAGATTATTCTCGATGGTGCTCTAGAAAAGTGGAAAAAAAAGAGGCGTGAATGAATGAGAGAGAAGAAAGAGAAACGTGAGCGGGAAAGGAGGAAGAGATAGAAAATATGTTTATGTGGCTGTGTAAAATACACAACCATTTTACACATTGGTGATGTGGCAGTGTATCTTAACAGACGGCTGAAGATGAAAAAAATTTACAATTCATATGTGGCAGTGTATATTTTACATAAAAGGGTTTTTTAACATACGGCTGGAGATGCTTTTAACTTTTAATTGGTTTAATATATCAAGTTTTGTAATATTTGTCTTGGGTATGTAATGTATACTTAAGTACCCTTTTTGGGACTTATTCAATTTGTATGACTTAAAGCCAAGGACCATGTACCTTTAATTATAAAAGTGTTGAAAATTGAGGTTTGGGATATGAATTTTAGTGTTTGACATAAAATGAGGCTGTAGGCCAATGTAACGCATTTCTATATGTAAGATACGTTTGCGAGCATGTTTGTATACTCACACAACTTTCAATTTAGGCCTTGGAGCCATGTTTTGGAAATTTATGCATTTTTACGCTAAATTATGCATTGGTGTATGCTTCACACATTTTTATTGATTTTTCATGTTGTAGGTGCTTGTGTGAGACCTTGGAATGTTTTAAAAACAGTTTTGGGATTTTTGGGATACATGTGTAAGTTTAGTTTTGGACCAAGCACATTTCCCACACTCTGCTGTAGCTCATTTTGCTGCTATCTGGTGCGTCGGTCGACTGATGAAGGCCATCAGCCGGCTGACAAGCTTCTTTTGGTTTTCCAGTGAGTTTGCAATTCTCACAGGGTGTTTCGGCCGGCTGATCCTTGCTGTTAGCCGGCTGATCCTCCATTTTTCTCAGTACCTTTTTAGTTTCTTGGACAGATTTGTTGCACTGACTTTAAACAGTCATATCTCACTCGTTTTTAATCCAAATTGGGTCATTCTTGAGTCTAAATTCAAGAGCTTGAAGTTATATTTCCAATTGTACCAACCACACACAAAAACTCCAATCATAGTAAGAGTTATGATAGTTTTTGTGAGATAGGGTCGTGGTATCTCTTAATCGGAGGATGCCACTTTGTTCTGTCTTCATATCTTTGTCATCCGGACTCCGAATCAGGCGATTCTTGAGTCTAACCTTTTTTATTTTTTGTTGTCTTTCCAATGATATGCCTGGTAGCATCCATTTCTGTTTGAAACAACCACTTCACCCTTGGTTCATTTCTTGTCAGGTTTGAAACCTTAACTTCCGCAATTGACTCATTTGAGTTTCGTGGCTTCATGGGGAGTCATTTTGGTGTCTTAGGGATAACGTACATCTCTAGAGGCCTTGTTCTTTCTTTTACTTTTGAATTTTGGATCCATTATCGGGTCATCTTTCGGTTCATCACAGGACGCACCGGGTTTGTAAAACTAGGATCGTCACAATTTATTTTAATTGGCAACTTATTTTAGTATTCGGTAAATTATTTAATTATTTTATCTATGAATGATTTTAAACATCTTGATTGAATTTTGATTAAACAATTACCTACTTAATTTTAATTGGTAATTTATTTAATGATTTGAAACATCTTGATTTATTTTCAATTAAACAATTACCTGATTTGTTTTAATTGGTAACTAATTTTATTATTTGGTAATTTATTTTATTATTTTATCAAATGATTAAATAGGAATTTATTTAATAATTTGAAATATCTTAATTGAATTTCAATTAAACAATTACCTATTTAATTTTAATTAACAATTTATTTTATTATTTTTTAAAATAATTAACTATTTTGTTCTAGTTGTTTTAGTAATGATTTGAAACATCTTGATTAAATTTCAATTAAACATTTACCTATTTAATTTAATTGGTAACTTATTTTATTATTTTATTTATAAATTATTTAAAACATCTTAATTGAATTTTAATTAAATAATTACCTACTTAATTTTAATTAGTAATTTATTTAATGATTTGAAATTAACATCCTGATTGAATTTCAATTAAACAATTATCTATTTAATTTTAATTGATAATTTATTTTATTATTTGATAAATTATTTTATTAAATAATTAACTATTTTATTTTAATAGGTAACTATTTTTAGTTGTGTTAATAGTTTTATATAAATTTTTTTATTTTAATTCATTTTATTTATAATTTTATTTTATTTTAATTTATTTTATTTTTATATTAATAAATAAATACTGAAATATTGAAACACTTTACACTTTGGAGCTTTTTTACAATTCACCACTTTGTAACATAGGCCTCCACAAATTTTCAAAAATCAAAATTTTCTCGTAACATTCCGTAGTTCTAATATTTTAGTCGAGTTATTTAGTTATTTTTTAATTTTTTTTAGTCGAGTTATTTAATTAGCCATTTTATTTAATATAGTCTCCGAATCTTTGACTCATGACGTGCAAAAGAAATCTTTGACTGATAAATTAATAATACTATATCAAGTTTCGGTGACCTACCGCAAATAGCCTAATGCTAGTAGTCTAGTACTATGTATTATTTAGTTTAGCGCCATCATCTTTCATGCATTCAATCTTAGCTCGCCACGTATACCACACTCAGTTTTTTTATTTAGAAAGCGAAACACTTTAAGTTACCAAAATTAGCCATTATTAATTACTAGTATTAAATTTGTCAAACATAATTAGAATTTAGACGGGTCTAAGATATAATTTGAACCTAACTCATTATATAAAATATTAAATTCAAATTTAATTTTAATTCGATTTTCAACTCTAACTACTCAATTCGAACCCAATTTACCTTTTATTTTTAAATTCAAACTTAAAACTCCGGCGTAGATTCTGAATTAAAATTTCAGTAAATTCAAGTTAACTTGTGTTCATATTGAAAAATTAATATAATTTTAAATTATTTTTATATTAAATTACTCTTAAATAATAAAAAAATAATTATACTAAATGTTAACATACAATAAAATAAGATTTAACAAAACATGTTGAAAAGAAAAAAAATGTAATCATGATTTAAATATTATGTATAATGTATTTAAAATTAAATATTTATATAAAAATAATATTGGAGCTTGAATTCAAGTTGCTAACACCTTGTATGGTGAGTTAGGTTTAAATTATACCTTAAACCGGCCAATTGAAGCCTTAATTGCGCTTGACAAATTTAATATTAGTAATTAATAATGGCTAATTTTGGTAACTTAAAGTGTTTCGCTTTCTAAATACAAAACTGAGTGTGGTATACGTGGCGAGCTAAGATTGAATGCATGAAGGATGATGGCGCTAAATTAAATAATATAGCTATTTGCAGTATGTCACCAAAATTGATATAGTATTATTATGAGTCAAAGATTTCCTTCGCGCATCACGAGTCAAAGATTCGGAGACTACATTAAATAAAATGGCTAATTAAATAACTCGGCTAAAAAAAATGTAAAAAATAAATAAATAACTCGACTAAAATATTAGAACTACTGACTGAATGTTACAAGAAAATTTTGATTTTGAAATTTTTTGGAGCCTATATTACAAAGTGGTGAAGTGTAAAAAGGCTCAAAAATGTAAAAAATTCAGTGTTTAAGTATTTATTTATTAATATAAAAAATGTAATTATAATTTAAATATTATATATAATATATTTAAAATTAAAAATATATATGAAAATAATATTAAAATTTGGATTCAAGTTGCTAACACCTCAACTCAAGTCCAACCTTAATTAAATTCGAGTTAAAAATTTTCAACTCAAACACAACCTTAATTGTAAAAATAAGCTCACAAAAAATCGGGCTAAATGATTAGGGTTACCTAACCTAAATTACACCCTCTACGCATTGTGCACAGGCTCACCAAGACTAAGCGCAGAGTGCCATCAAATACCTTCTCCCAATGCTCTATCACTATCATCATTGGCTTTGTCAATCAATAGTTAATGCTAAGTAGCCTAGCTCGGTAAGAAACAAAAAATTTGAATGAGTAGGAAAGATAATTTTTTTTCTTTTTTTTTTTATAATAATATTTATAATGTTGGATAATTTTAATTTTAAAATTTATATAATTTAAAATACTATTTAATTAAAAGTTTCAATAATAATCTATTTATCTTCTCTTCTTTCTTCCATCCAAAAGTGAACCCATAAAAATTTATAGACGTATTTTCTTTATATAAATTGTACGAACAAAAGCATTCTTTTCTATTTTCTCTCCAAACTCCTTCCCTCTCACGTACAAAAGCATAAGGATTTTTATTTTTTATTTTTATTTTCTCCTGACACCCTTTCCTTCCAACCGAACGAAAGCATGAGAGTTTTTGTTGGACAGTACCGTCAATATATTTGTCAATTAATGATAAACTAGTGTTGTTACACGATGGCTTGATTAAGATCTAAGTTCGCTCTTCAAACGCCTATTCGACACAACAAAGTACTGTCTCTCTAAAGTGCCTTTTCTCGTAATCAATCTCTCTCTGCATATACATATACATTCCTACACATATTGATGGACCAGGTTTTTTGAACAACAACGGCAAAAAGAGGTTCAGCAGATCTGCCTCCATTGACATTAACGACCATGAGTGAAAGAATTTGAGGAAATTTCAGGTTTTATTATTATTATTATTATTATTTTTTGGCTATACCTATTCATTCATTTATTTAATATTTTACTTTATCAGTCATTTATTTTAATTTCTTTGGGGATTTTCAGATCTCTTGGTTTCCTGCATTTAAACATAGTTTTATTATCAGATTGATGTTGGAATTAAACTAATACTTTTTTTTTTTCCTTTCTAAGAAGAGTGTAATCTATTCGGGCATCTGCTAATACCAGATGCTATGTATCCCATATATTTTGTGAATTTTTAGTCTGTTAAAAAATTTTCATTACAATTTGACTGCGTTGTTATTTTCTTATTTTTTTCAATTTTTGTTACATTTTTATAATGTGGAGATCTTACTTGGAATTTTTTTTTTTTTTGGTTAGATATTTTCTTGAGCACAGTTGAATACAAAATATTTTTGAGTGTGTATGAAGTAGCCATGGTAGTACTTGAATAATCATCCAAATAGTTTATGCGTGCGGTGGTTTATATGAGTTGATAATAGGTCACTTTTTGAGGAGTTTTTGCTTGATCTTTGCAAATGGTATATCCTTACTGATTGACAGGGCTCTTGTATATTCCTTAGTAGCGGCTATAGAGGCACTGCTACTATGATCTTTCTTGTACTTTTTCTACAGGAATGGTGGAAATGAGGGCACACTGACCTCCCCTGTATAAACCAGGGCATGCCCCCTTATAAGTTGTATTTTGGTTGCCTTGAGGCTTGCTAATTGAAATCTTACCTTATGGAAAAAAAAAATTGAATATGAATTCAAAATTTAAAATAACTTCTGGGACATTTTTCTCTAATAATTATGTGTTTCATAGGGTGTAAAAGATAATTTATGCAAAACTGGTTTGTTACTGCCAATTATTTAATATATTGGTGAAAGAGCGGAGGTGCACAAGAAAAGAAAAAGAAATCCACACCAAATTACTGGTGTTGGTAGTATTCAGTTTAAGGTTATTTTATTATTTGAAAACACTTGTTTTAGTAGTATCAGTTTTTGTTTAGTCATCATTTGCATAGCATTTCTGATTCAAGATGAGAGGATAGATCGAGAGAAGTTTGTTGTTGTGGTCAAAGATGGTGGATTCGTCCCAGATTTTGTGATTGTGGAGGATGAATGGCTTGCTTTCAGATTTTCGCTTCCTGTAATAGCTCCTCTGACAATGGAAGCGACGGTGGCGTGGGCTACTCATAAGGCTTACTCGTCGGATCCTAAGGTTGGGTTGGGAAGAACGAAGAGGGAGGATACGGTGGTGGATCGACCGGAAAAAGAAAACCAGAATGGGTTTCTGCAGGTGTGAGTTGTGGAAGGTAAGGGATGAGTGGTGGTCCACGCGAAGGATAAGCGCGTGAGGGAGGAGTGACATGATCAACGTGTCAGCAAGACACTTAACGGATATAAGATAAGGTATACAGCTGGTGGGACGCGTGTTGAAGACTGTGTGGTGAGGGGCTCTCGGTCACGTGATACGCAGCGTAATTTAAAGTTCTTTGGGCCGAGGCGTGGACCTGCGGATAAGCAGTACGGTGGGTCTGGTGTTCTTGGGCCTTTATTTAAAATGAGGGCCCTAAGGCTGGGCCTAACACTCGCAGGCCACATCTAAAGGAGACTGGGGGGATGATTACCTGCTCTAGGCTGGGTTGGACTAACACGAACAGATTTGGGTCACTCCATTTTGCTAATAAAGCTGCAGATTGTTTTGATGGGTTGGATCAAACATGGGGTGAATGTAGGCTTGGCCCATTTAATAAGGCCTCCAACTCGAGACAGATTCAGAAGATACACGAACCGTTTGCAGCTAATCTGAAGTCTGATGTCCTTCGTCGTCATCCTCGACCTAGTCATCGTAAATGGTCGCGAGTAGATAAACAAAAATGGCGTGCGAAAAAGGTTGTTGTTGATGGTTCCATTGCGGGTAGGTCTTCTTTCTCTCACTCTGCTCCATCTTCTTCTTGTGGGGGACCATCTTCTACAATTGCAAATCAGAGTAGAAGGGAGGGGGGTCCGCCTCCTACTTTCCGACCTGCTGGGAGGACTGAACTGAGCTCCATGTAGAGACCAGTCCCTTTTTTTTTTATTTTTTATTTTTATTTTTTTTTTCCCGTTTATTTTTCGGGTTTGGGTCTTGCCGGACCAAGTCGAGTCAAGTGCTTGGGAATAGTTATCGACACTTCCTTCATTAGAGATTTGTGTTGCACTTGTTTTTGTTTCATCTTTTATTATTTGGGGTTATTTATGCGATTAAGTTTTGAGGACATTTTTGATTTTTTGGGGCCTTTGTGCGGAATATCTTTTGGAGATATTTTTATTTGGGGCAATAATGCAATTATCTTTTTGAGATATTTTCTTGGAAGGACTTTTGTGCAATTAGTGGAAGTTAGGGCAATGTGCCTTAATTGGGTTAGGATTCTTGTACGGGTTTCTTTTTTTGCCTTTTTTCGAGTCATGAACTCTTAGAAATGCATTTTAGACCTTTTATCCCGTTTTAGGGTTTTTGATCCGGGAGGTCGTCGTGTGGGTTCGGGACGGATTCTCGGGTACGGGATTTATTTTTCGATGCTGTTTCTTTTGTCGTTGATTATTTTGGCCATCGGTATTTTTACATTTACGGTTTTGATCCGTTTGAGCGTGTTTTGACAATTTTTGTTTTGCGGGTCGCGCGGGACCCACTCAGGGGATATTTTAGTGAGTATAAAGGTAAGAGGGGAGAGAGAGAAATCAGAATTTCTCTCCCTCTTTGCCGAATCCTCTCTCCTCTCTTTTCTCCTCTTTTCATTTCCTAGATCTACTTTCCCTCTTTAGGTTTTGATCTCTTTCCCCTTTGATTCATTCCTTGGCGTAGAAGGGTTTTGTGTTGGCCTTGGCAACGGCCATCTTTCCATCCGATTAGATTTTCATTTGGATCGTTCTTGAGATTTTAGAGTGAGCTCGGGTTTGGATTCGGAAGGTGCCGCAAAAGGATTAGTTGTTGCCTTCATTGTCTCCGACGTAACCCCGAAATTCCGTCGCATTTGGAGCGGTTCCGTTTTGGTGTCATTTGAGGTTTTCATCTCAAAGTGAGGCAGGGGTATCTTATGCTAGTAATTTATACTTTCTTTGGGTCTTGTGGATGTGGGGATATGTAAAGTGAGGTAGGTGTGTTGGTAGGGACTTTAACGTGGTGAGATCCCCGTCGGAGAGATCTTTAGAAGGAAGGTGGTCTTCAACTATCGAGCAGTTTTCGGACTTTATTGACAGCCATCACCTTATTGATTTGCTAATGGAGGGCACTTGTTTCACTTGGGCTAGTGGCAAGGAGGATGGTACACTTTCTCGGCTGGATAGATTCTTAGTTTATGGGGATTGGGAGGTGCGGTTTCTGGATGTGGTACAGACAGCTTTAGCCAGACTAGCGTCCGATCATATTTCGTTGGTTTTGGATTGTGGAGGGATGAGCTCCCGGCGCACTCCCTTTCGTTTTGAGAACATGTGGCTTAGGGCAGAGGACTTCCAGGGGAAAGTCCGTTCTTGATGGGAGGAGGCTACAATTGTTGGCACTTCGAGTTTTATTTTGGCCGGAAAGCTTCGGTTCTTGAAGGTTGAGATTAAAAGATGGAATAAGGAGGTATTTGAGAATCTAAGTGGAGGAAGAATACGGCCCTTGCTGAGATTGCAGAGATCGATAGGTTGAAAAGTTTGGGTGGTATTGTCGAGGCTCAGAGGAGTGGAGGGCGGAGTGTTTGGCAAAGTTTGCGGAGATTGTAACTTTGGAGGAGATATCGTGGCGTTAGAAATCACGGGCGTTATGGCTCTAAAAGGGTGACCACAATACAAATTTTTTTCATAGGTTGGCTAATGCTCACATGAGGGGTAATCATTTTGGGCGGATTTGTGTTGATGGTGTGGATCTATGTAGGGAGGAGTAGGTGTGCACGGGGATTGTCTCGTACTATCAGAGACCTAGACTTGGTGGCTGGTTGACTCGATTTTAGAGATGGATAGGGAGGGTCTGGAGGTTCCTTCTCCGAAGAGGAAGGTTTGAAGGCGCTAAAGAGTTGTAATGGCAACAAGTCCCCGGACCAGATGGTTTCACTATGAGGTTCCTGTTGGTGAGTTGGGAGGTGGTCAAGGGTGAGGTGATGGGGACATTCAAGGAGTTTTATTATTTTGGGCGGTTCGAGAAATCTTTGAATGCTACTTTTATTGCTCTCATTCCCAAGAAGAGTGGTGCCACTGATGTGAAGGATTTTAAACCTATTAGCTTGGTGGGGTGTGTTGGAAATCATATCTATAGGCTGACTTGATGATTATGACAGATTTATTGGGTCTTCATTATAGGCTTATGTTTAGGCTTTTGTTTTGGGATTTGATTTTTATTCTCTTTCCATATTTGTAATTTTCCTCTTGTATACAATGATAGTCAGTCTCTCAAATTGAGTGCGCCAATTTTACAAGATCACTTTTTGGTATCAGAGTCTCAAACCTATCCTTTCCTCTCTCCCTCTTTCACCGCCTTTTTCCCTCTTTCTCTCTCTATCTCATCACAGCCTCTTCCCTCTTTCTTTCTTTCTTTTCGTCGCAGACCCTCTTCTTTAGGCCGCTGTTGCGACAGTCCTAGGGGAGTCAATCTCTTCTAGGTTTGACCCTGTAGGGGTATTCCCTTAGTGTTTTTCATGCACTAAGGGTCAGAAGACATATTTGGAATTTTTTGGTCTACCGAGATATTCGGCAGCGTTTTCGGATCGAACCGCCATTTATCTAGCTTCTTAGTTTGATCAAAATCAGGTTTATAACTCCTTCATTTGAAATTATTGGTGATCTGTTGAATTGTTCTATTTAATATTATGGTTGATTCAAGTAATAATAAAGAAACTCTTTTCTGCTCAACACACATCGGCTCAACAAGTTACTAGTGTGCTGTTGAATGGCCGTAATTTTGCATCCTGGTCTCGTTCCCTTTGCCTTTATGTTGGTGGAAAAGGCAAATCAGGGTGGCTTTTGGGTACTAAAAAGATGCCAGATATTAAAGATCCTAAATATGCTTAGTGGGATATGGATAATTGCACCATTTTAAGATGGATGTTTAATTCTATGGAGGAATGAATTTATAATATATTCATGTTTTTTTGACTCTGTTCATGATTTGTGGACTACTTTGAATCAAATGTATGCTCATTCTAGGAATGATGCTCGTATTTTTGAGTTATACCAGGATATTGCTAAGTCCTCGCAAGAAGGCCTGAATTTGTTTGTAGCTGATTACTTTGGTTATTTGAGATCTCGTTGGGAGGAACTAGCTCAATATGAGCCTCTGAGTGAATTTCCTCCCAAGGCAGCCTCTCTTCTTGTCAAACGTCTTGACCACCAGCATACCTATCAGTTTTTTATGGGAGTACGTCCAGAATTTGAACACTTAAGTCCCACATCTTGAATGCATCACCAATGCTAACCCTGTTGGAAGCCTTTGCTACTGTTGATGCTGAAGAACGCAGACACCATTTAATTCAACCCCCACTTGTTTGGTGGGATCACGTAGGATTGGAGGTCAGATTATTTGTCACCATTGTGGAGGGGTTGGACATGTTAAGGCTCGCTGCTTCAAACTTCATCCTGAACTGAGGTAGAAATTTGCTAGGAATCGTTTATCTGGAACTGGTTCTTCTCGTACTGCTGCTGTTGCAGAGACTCCTGCTACTACTGGTGGACCTACTGTATTTTCTGGACTGAGTGAGCTTCAGTCCCAAATTGGGCAGATCCAAGACCAGCTTGGCTCCTTTGCTTCCAGAGTTGTGCTCCTTTGGCTGCTCCCACTGCTACTATTGTTACAGGTACTCCTACTGCATTTCATGTTAAGGCCAAGCAGCTTACTTGGGTTCTGGATTCTGGGGCCATTGATCACATGACTGGTGAGTTATCAGTTTTTTCTTCCAATGTCATACCTGTTACCCAATCTGTGTGTCTTGCGGATGGCTTTCCATCTTACATTCATTGGAAGGGTGATGTTTGTCTATCTACTGATATTACTCTTTCATCTGTCTTTCATGTACCTAAATTTTCCTTTAACCTTTTATCTGTTAGCCGGCTTGCAAAAGACCTCCAATGTGCAGTTATTTTCTTACCAGATCATTGTCTTTTGCAGGACTTTCATTTAAAGAGGATTTTTGGCAGGGGTTATGAGCGTGATGGGCTTTATTACTTTCGGGAACCACCTGGAATGGGTCTCCAAGCTTCTGTCTTACCTGCTTCTAGTGCTTATGATGTTTCTTTTTGCACTTTTAGTCTATGGCATGCCCGTTTGGGGCATGTAAACTTTCAGTATCTATGTTTATTGTTTCATTCGTTAAATAAAGCATATAAGGATCATAATTTTCAATGTGAAGTTTGTGAGCTTTCTAAACATACTAGAACTAGCTATATTTCTCATATGAGTCATGCTCCTAGTATGTTTGATCTTAACCACTCTGATGTTTGGGGACCTTCCCCAGTTATTGTTTCTCTTTCTCTGGGTCATCGATATTATGCGACATTTATTGATGATTATTCTCGTTGTACTTGGGTTTATTTATTGAAAAAGAAATCTAAAGTGCTTCTTTTATTTACCCAGTTTCTTTAATTGATCAAAACCCAGCATAACACTGTTCTCAGTAATATTCGTTCTGATAATAGGCATGAATATGTTTCGAATGAGTTCCGGATTGAACTTAATAAAAAGTGGATTTTACATAAACTCATTTGCCCTACAAACAAAATGGCGTGACTAAATGCAAAAACCGTCATCTTATGTATGTGGTCCGATGTCTTTTGAGTGGTATGTATGTGCCTAAATTCTATTGGCATATGACTGTTCTTACAACTGCTTTTCTGATTAATCGTACTCCCAGTCGAATTTTGGGTGGTAAGGCCCCTCTTCAGATTCTCCAGCCCGATTATACATTGTTTCACCTTCTGCCTCGTGTTTTCTGCTATACTTGTTTTGTTTAGAACCGTAGTGTTTCTCGTCATAAACTTGATGATAAATCTAGTAGGTGTATTTTCTTGGGTATTCTGCTATGTCAAAGGGATATCATTGTTATGATCCTGTGGCCAAACATCTGTACCATTCTCTTGATGTGACATTTTATGAAACTGTTCCTTTTTATAGTACTAATTTTGTGGTACATGATTCTCTCTCTTGTAGTCTGGAGAAGGAGATCTCTCCTTTTATCCGCCCTGTTCCTATCTTTGAAGATCACGCTGTCCTGGAATCTCTTTCTCCACCTATGCGGGGGTTCGCCTCCGCTTGCAGGTCTACTCTCGTCGCCATCGCACTCAACCTCCCCTGCCAGAATCATCTTTCGAATCGATCCAGGTAACTATCCTTCTCCCATGGCTCCTACCATTCCTGAGAATACATCTCGTTATCCTACCCGTGTTCGTCACTCTCTTAATTGGTATGGTTTCTCTAGCAGCACTAACCACCCTATTTCCCAGTATGTCTCCGATGGTCTTTCAAGTGCATATATATCCTTTTTGGGTAAGATTGGATCACAATTGGGTGTCTAACAGCAGAAATAGATGCTTTAGAGCGTAATAATACATGGGAACTTGTTGCCTTACGTGCTGGGGAGAAAACAGTTGACTGCAAATGGGTCTTTAGTGTGAAGTACTTAGCTGATGGTTCTATTGATCGGTATAAGGCTCGGTCGGCGGCGAAAGGCTTCACTCAGATTTCAGGCAAAGACTTTGGTGCTACCTTTGCTCCTGTGGCAAAGTTGACATCTGTTCGACTACTTGTCTCCTTGACTGCTGTCCATTCTTGGCCTCTGCATCAGTTAGATGTCAAGAATGCATTTCTTAATGGAGATTTACTTGAAACTATATCTATGGATCCACCCCCTGGATTTCGGGTTGACGGGGAGTATGCTGGGAAAGTCTGTCGGTTTCGTAAGTCTCTTTATGGTCTGAAGCAATCTCTATGACCATGGTTCAGTCGTTTTAGTGATGTTGTTCTATCCATGGGCTTTGTGCGCTGCCACTCAGACCAAGCTTGCTTTATTTGACATCGCTATGATGGTCACTGCATTATGTTATTAGTATATATGGATGATATCATTATCACAGGTGGTGATGCTTCAGGGATTGCTCAGACGAAACTTCATCTTCAAAAGTCTTTTGATGTGAAGGACTTGGGTCCCCTTCGATATTTTATTGGAATTGAGGTTGCTAGATTTCGTCGTGGAATTTCTTTTATCTCAAAGGAAATATGTTTTGGATCTTCTTCAAGATACTGGTATGCTTGGGTGTCAACCCGCTTACACTCCTATGGACCCTAATCTCAAACTCTCTGTTGAGTCAGGGGAATTACTTCCAGATCCATCCGTATATCAACGTTTGGTAGGTCGTCTTATCTACTTGACTAACACAAGGCCTGATTTGACCTTTGTTGTTAGTGTGGTTAGTCAATTCATGCATGCCCCTCGCTCAACTCATATGGATGCAGTCTACTATATTTTGAGGTATCTTAAGTCGTGCCCTGGCCTTGGTCTGTTCTATGCCTCTGTCCGGACTCTCATGTTTTACTGATGTAGACTATGCTGGATGACAGATAGACAGTCTATCTTTGGCTTATGTACTTTCTATGGTAATCATCTCATATCATGAAAGAGTAAGAAGTAAGCTGTTGTCTCCAGATCCTCTGTTGAAGCTAAGTACCGAGCCATTGCTCAAGGTACCTGTGAGCTCCTTTGGCTTCAATCAATTTTGGGAGAGTTGGGTCTTGTAGAGAAAGGTTCTTCAAGGTTGTTTTGTGACAATAAATCAGCCATTATGCTTGCTTCTGATTCTGTGTTACATGAAAAGTCGAAACATATTGAGGGTAGACATTCACTTCATTCGAGAGAAGGTTCGATCAGGTATCTTTAATCTTCTTTTTGTTCCCTCTTCAAAATAGGCTGCAGACGTGTTCACGAAGTCTGTTGGGCCTTCTCTTCTTCAGTCTTCCATAATCATATCTATAGTTTGACTCGACGATTGTGGCAAATTTATTGGTCTTCATTATGGGCTTATGTTTAGGCTTTTGTTTAGGGATTTGATTTTTATTCTTGATTTGATTTTTATTCTCTTTCTATATTTGTAATTTCTCTCTTGTATATAATGATTGCCAGGCTCTAAATTGAGTACGCTAATTTTACCAAATCACTTTTGGGTGTTTGTACAAGTTGATAGCTAAAGTTCTTGCCGTGAGGTTGAGGGATGTTTTGGATGGAGTTATTTTAGAATCTCGAAATGCTTTTATTGGGGTCAGCAGATCCTGGATTCAATGGTCATTGCTAGTGAGTGTGCTGATTCTAGGTTGAGTAGTGGTGTTCTGGGAGTTTTGTGAGCTTGATATTGAGAAAGCTTACGATCACGTTAGTTGGAGTTTTCTGCTTTATATGATGGAGAGGCTGGGTATTGGGGTGAAATGGAGGAGGTGGATCGATTTCTGCATTTCGTCAATGGGATTCTCGGTGTTGGTGATGGGGCTCCGTTTGGCTTCTTTGGCATTTCTCGGTGTTTGAGACAAGGGGATCCTTTTTCTCCTTTTTTGTTCATTATTGTTATGGAGGCTCTTAGTAGGTTGGTGTGGAGGGCTTTAGATTTGGGATTCATTAAGAGCTTTAGGGTGGGCAAAGGCTCGGATCATTAGATAGAGGTTTCCCATTTGTTATTTGCGGATGATACATTAGTCTTCTGTGATGCTGATGTGTCCCAGATGAGATATTTGAGATGTGTTTTAGTTTGCTTTTAGGCTGTTCTTGCAGATTTTTTAAGCAGACCTCCGGAAGTATCTAACAAAGATATTTCTTCTCTCCTTCTACAGAAGAATACCCCTTTTGACTGGACTGATAATGACACAACCATTATCGGTGGGGACCGTAGAGGGGACTGTAGAGAAGTCGTATTGATCTGTTGGATAATGGTTGTGTCATTATCAGTCCAGTCAAAAGGGGTATTCTTCTGTAGTTTCTTTAATAAAGGAAGTTCTTTTTGTGCTAACCCTTTAATAAAGGAACGGCCATAATTTAAGATTCCTAAAAAGCGGATCAACAATCTTTAGCAAATTTGATTGTAAAGCTGGTTTCTGGCAGATCAAACTACGCAAGAAGTCCAAACCGCTAACAGCATTTAGCACGCCCATTTCCGCACTGGAAACGATGAAATTTTGATTGCTCCTTCTCAAGGCAAAAAACGAAAATACACATATGATCTCACGTATACGAGTGATGATATGGGCGCTTTCGTCGAACGTGAGTTTTGGATCGACATATAAAGCTTGTAGGCAACTGAGCTGATCTATGATGTTATCATCTTTATAAGGAAAGTGAGTAAGATCTAGATAAGTTCCATTTTGTGAAATGGGGAACTTATTGAGGTCATCTTTACGTGTCCAGGTGGGGACCGTAGAGGGGACTGTAGAGAAGTCGTATTTATAGGAAGATGTATAGATTTTAGGTTCAGCGGCTGGTTTAGCTTTGTCGTCGTCAGTTTTTTGACCTGAACCAAAGACTTCTTCTGCTGGAAGAAAATCTTCTGTAGGAAAATCGCCATAGAAGGATTCGTCGAGAACTGTCTTTGCTTATATGTCAATGTCTAAAAGCGAATGTAGGGAAGAGTTTGTTTGTCCCTGTGGGGGAGGTGCATAACATTGATGAGCTTGCAGCGGTGCTTGGGTGTGGGATCTCCTCTTTCCCCATTTCTTATTTGGGCTTGCCTTTGGGTTCACCGTCGAGAAGGGTGGGGGGTTTGGACCCTGTGGTTGAGAGGTTTGAGAAGAGATTAGCTGGGTGGAAGAAGTAGTATCTTTCGTATGAAGAGCACATTGGCGAGTCTTCCCACATACTTTCTCTCTTTTTCAGATCCCGGCAACCATGGCTTAGATGATTGAAAGGCTTCAGCGGAACTTCCTTTGGGGCGGGTTAGGGGATGAGTTTAAGTACAATCTTGTTCGTTGGGAGCAAGTGTGCAGGCGTATCCAGTTGGGTAGTTTGGGTATCAGGAGGGTGATCCCTTTTAATAAGGCTCTCCTAGGGAAGTGGCTTTGGAGATTTGGAGGGGAGCGACATCGATTATGGAGGAGGGTCATCTCTTGCCGCTTTGGGGAGGAGAGAGGTGGGTGGTGCTCTAGTGTGGTTAGATCACCTAGTGGTGCTGGGGCTTGGAAGTTCATTCGGAAGGGTTGGGATGAGTTTTTGAAACACATCAGATTCAAAGTTTAAGTTCGAGATGGCAGGGACACTCGGTTTTGGGAGGACGTTTGGTGTGGGGAGCGGCCATTGGCATATTTGTTCCCTAGGCTCTTTAGGATTGCCGTGGACAAACATGCTTGGGCAGTTGACAGTTATCAGTTTGATAGCGGAAGGATTACTTGGGATGTGTGTTTTTGACGACATTTTCATGATTGGGAATTGGACGATGTTTTTGACTTTCTTGATCCGGTGTATAGACAGACGCTGGATGGTGGCGGCCCAGATTCCCTCTATTGGGTGCTATCTTCTCAGGAGAGATTTGAGTGTCGGTTCTTTTTCTGTTGCCTCTCGGGTTTCTTAGGGTCTGATTTCCCTTGGAAAACGGTGTGGTGTTCGAAGGCTCCCCTCAAAATGGCTTTTTTTGTTTGGACTGCAACTTGGTTTAAGATTCTGACACTTGATAACCTCAGAAGGAGAAGGCAGGTTAAAGTTAATTGGTGTTGCATGTGCAAAAAAAGAATGGTGAGTCGGTGGATCACTTGTTGTTGCATTGCTCTGTGGCTCAGCTGGAGTTTGATTTTTGGCTTGTTTGGAGTGCAGTGGGTTATGCCCTGGACGGCGAGAGGTTTGATAGACTCTTGGAGAGGGTGTGGGGTGGTTCTCATGCTTGTCTTTTTTGGACGGTAGCTCCTCTCTGTGTTTGGTGGTGCATTTGGAAGGAGCGAAATAACAGATCTTTTGATGGGGCGGAGTCTCCTATAGGAACTTTGAAATTCTGTATTATTAGCTTCATTTTTTGTTCAGGTATGGGCAGATATTGTACATCTATAGAGGAGATTGTTGATTTCTTTGCCTTTGTGGGTCCTTAGGATCCTTCTTTTGGCTTTGGCTTCGGCCTCTGTGTATTCTAGGGACGCGTTCCCCTTTTGAACCCTTTCTATATATATTTACTTATCAATTTTTTTTTTTTTGATTCAAGATTCTCTTTGTTAAAAATGAGTGTGAAATTCTTTTATTGGTTTGATTGTGAATCTCAATTAAGCCATCATGGATCAGGGTACTTCTCTTATGGGGCCTATTTTTTTACCCTCTCTCGGATCTCTTTTGAATTGTCTGATCTTCTCTTACACAGAATTGTTAACTGAATCAAACTCTAATTATCGATGCTCAAATTCATTGTTTTGAAAACCATAACCCTAGTATCCTTATTTTGACAACTTAATTTTTCCTTGCAATTCTTCCCTAAAAGCTAAGAAACCTAGTTTTGTGACATTTCCTGTCCAACTTTTATTTTATTTTTGTATTTATATTTTATAACCATGATCTCATGTTCATGTCCAAAGTTGTGATGTTGTGGCCCGAATTTGGTGCCGGGTCGCGATGCGATCCGTTTTTGCTCATGGGTTGTGGATCCTAATTAGTACTCTCTTGTAGCCCGATATATAAGGGCGGTTAGAGTTTGGAGTGTGATAATCAAGAGACACTGAAAATCATACACAGAGAGAGTGGGGTTGAAATTGTAATCTCCGATTCTACACATAAGACTTTCTTCGGATCTCCACCGTGGATGCAGGCTTTGCCGTATCACGTATAAATCTTTGTGTGATGTGTTTATTTTTCTGTCGTGTTTCGTAATAGTTGCTTTGTTCGCTGCGTTTGGCGTAACAAAAGTCATGCAATTCATTCTTATGTAACCTCATTGTTGAGTGTGGATTATTTCTGAATGATGCTGATAATTGTTTGGAAATTTTTCTTAGTGGAAGAAGGAAAAAGAAAAAAAAATCAAATACTTCATTTTCATAGTCCGAAAGACTATAAGGATACATATTTTGAGATTGAGTTTTCTTCCCAACTGGTGAGATGATGTACATTCTATAATCAAAATAAGTAGTTTGATATATCATTTTAGGATATAAATCATATTTCTGAATAACTGTGAATTATTTATCAACTTAAAAATAGGGGATTAACCATGGGCTCGGCGTGTAACTGAAATAAGTATAGAAATGACATTGCTTTTGAAGTTCTATACGAAGAATTGTAGTTTATCTCATTGTTAGCCTTCTGATGCATGGTTTAAGATTAGGATTCTTTTTAGTCATTTTGGTTCACTTCATAACACGGTTGCAATTTAGATGGAGTGCATGATTGGAAAAGGTTGAGATGTTTGGTCTAATTGTTCAATAAAGTGAATGTTGTGGGTGCTAAGTTGTCTTACAAAGTGAATGTCAAAAACATTAGGTAGGATTTGAACTCGAGAATAACCAGAGACATAAACTCTTCTATGAGATGCGTAGAAGAGACAACTTGAGATAAATATGTAATATTGACTCATTTTTTCAGAAGATTCACTTGGTGCAGAAGGGTGTGATGTGGTAGTATGGTATAGCATCTTAACAACCATATGGCTTCCTAAGCAGATATGTGTAACTTTTGTTTCTTTTATTTTTTTCTTTTTTCTCCTTTTTGGTTTGTCAGGAGGAGCATAAGAACTACAACTCCCTGTTTCTCTTTTGATTGTTTACGGTCCATGGGCTCTTATTGTAGTAGGGAGGACCATGTGGCTGGACTGTCAACTAATTATCAAAGTTCATAAAACTCAATGAATCAGACAAAAAAATTAAAAAAAAAATAAACGAAACTTTTGACGAATTCTACACTAATATTAATCGTATTGTTAATAGTACTTTTGTTTTAAGAGAAGCTCTTCCTGAAAACCAATTGGTTCACAAAGCTCTTAGGTCCGGGCTTTAGAGATTTCAACCTAAGGTCACTACCATTGAAAAAGTAAAGATGTAAATAAAACCAAGGTAAGTTGATATTGTAGGTTCACTACAATTCACTTTTTATACACATTCAAAGATTGCTGCCATTGATCTCCGTCAATTCTCCCTGGCTTGGAAAAACTCGTGCCCGACGAGTTGAAGGGATGAAATTGCCATAAAACTAAGGAGCTAGGTGTTTTAACACACTATTGGCAATCCATTTATCAAGGAACTTTTGATAACGACCTCCTCTTGTTGAAACAAGTTGGTGATCAATAATATATTTTATTTCCTCCTTTAAACGTGTGGCTGGTGGAAGACGAGTAACTATGAATCTCATGGAGAGTTCGATCCTCGCTCAGGATGAACGCTGGCGGCATGCTTAACACATGCAAGTCGGACGGGAAGTGGTGTTTCTAGTGGCGGACGAGTGAGTAATGCGTAAGAACCTGCCGCTAAAGATCAATCCCCACACCACATCCTTCCTGAAGTTGATCCCTCTTCCGCACCTCACCCTAAGCCGTATGTGTTTAAAAAATCCATCCCACCCTCTCCAGATTCCAAACCCCCACCTTGGCCAACTGCCTACTCACAGCGATGGATGTCAACGCGCCATGAAATTACTCACAGGGATGGATGTCAACGCGCCATGAAATTACTCACCAATACTAAAAAATAAGAATGATGAATGCAAAAATAAATATGATGCACTCTAGGACTCGTAGATGTACTCTCTCTATATTCTCTAGATAGATATTCTTTATATATTGTATTCTACCCTAAGTAAGAGTAGTGTATATATAGGCAAAATAGAGGTGTATAAGGAAGTGTTTTTAGTGTTTAAATTTTAAAAAGAAATTGGAGTTCCGCACTCCTCGATCGATCAAGGCAATTCCAGTGACCCTTGATTGATAGCTCGACAGATTGAAGTCTACTGCAATTTGTATACTTACAGAACTTCAGAAAGGAAGTTTCCATACTAGCTCTATCAAACCCATTTCCAGTGGCCCTTGATTCATTACTTGATTGAGTCTACTGCAATTTGTATACTTATAACTTCAGAAAGGAAGTTTACAAAAATACTTTCATGCATATCAAATAGGTTTTGAAGAATAAATCATGAAACCTTAGAAGCCCTAATACATGTATGCATGAACCCTAATTGGTAAGTAAATCCAAGTGTTAAAATTACCTTTTTACCCTTGGTGTAGAAGATTATGACTTTACCCTTGTATGTAGCTTCAGCTTCATCCACAAGCAAACAACTTCTACAAAATTTGCCAACCTAAGACGTATTCACAAAACATCCTCTGTTACATTTTGCCTTGCGGTTTTATTTGCAACTTACTTTCCATGGACATTTAATAGTATGCTTTTTTATTGCAGAGTTAATTTAAAAACCTATTTTTATACAGAATAGTATGACTAGATTTACACTGCTTATTTATATTTTAAACTGATTTTTTTTTCCTTTTTCAATTTCTACAACTGAAGCTTTAAGCATTGTAACTGAAAGTCATGATGGATTTTGTAGGAATATCTTCATCTGGAGAATCTTGAAGTCCTCATCTCCACTATAACTGATAGATGCCAGTGAGGTTTGACTGAGGAATTCTGTTTTTTGGTGTGTATATGCGGAGATGAAAGGAGGAAACTTTAGTAGATTTTGGGGGAGACAATTTTCTTTTACTATGGTTCTTATTTTTACTACCTTTTTTCTATGGTCTTGGGAGAAAAACCCTCTTCTCACGACTTTGCTCTCAGCTCAAGATCAGTTCATAATGCCTTCTTCAGGTCGGTACTCTCTCCATGCTTGTATATGTGTATTAGTGTTTGTCCATGGTATACATGTTTGTATCATATTTGATATCCTACACTATTTGATTTATTTTTTGTCAGTAAAAAGCTTAACTGTAAGTAATAAAAATTACAAATCAAACTACATAAAATATTCTTTTTAAAATTTTCATCTATTTGTCTGTGGACAAACATAAGTTTTGAAATCTCTACTTCTTGGGAATCATCTTGAGACACTTCCATCAATTTCTTCAATGGTTCCCCCTTTCTCACCTCAAATCCATGATTTGCAGACTGAATAATGATAGCTGCCTCAGTTTTTGACAAGTTCTTGGCTGCTGCTTCATACTTTTTCACTTCTGCCTTATTTTTTTCTTCATGTACCTTCATTGTTGTCGAATCCTGGAAGCGAGAAAGTTGAATTTTCCTCCAGTCTCTCACGCTCTTCATCATCCCATCCAACGAATTCATCCCAAGCTGATTTCCAATGTCTTCCTCAATCAAGAATTGTTTTGTATTGACCATGTGATTATCTAAAATTATTGGACACTCGATAGATTTGCATCTCAAACCCTCGTGTCTGTAATACCACAAATCAGACTTCTTGGTATTGTTCACCATTGCCGTCCAAATGTTTTTTGACTGCTTAACTGAAGTGGCAGCACCTGATTTTGCACTTCCGAACTGCTTACGCTGCTGATTTCTTTCTCTAGTAGGCTGTTTAGTCCAATCCTTACTTTTGAACTGCTTATGCTGTTGAATTCTTTCTCTAGTAGGCTGTTCTGTCCAATATTTGCATTTATATGCATCCATTTGCTGATCCCTTTCTCTCCTGCTGTCCAGATTCAGAAATGATTTCATATTGTTATAATAGAGTGCTCAGTCCAAGGCTCTGATTCGGAGGATGCTGAAATACCTTTATTTTATTTATTTATTTATTTATTATTTTTGTAAATTAAATGCCACTTCAAAATTTTTATGAAATAAAAATCATTTAGTTTCTCAAAATAAAACAACCCGATTTCCAAATTTTCATTTTCTCAAGACGAATAGTGTCTACCAATCCATGGTGAAATTTCGAAATAAATTCACCAGCCAACCTTTGCATTGGCGTGGCCCCAACCCTCAATTATTCAACCAAGCAAATGGTGGTCCTACGAGATCGATCCACTGGCCAACCTTTACACCAGTGTGGCCCTAACCCTCAGTAAATCATTCTAATCAAATGTTGGTCCTCCGAGAGGAAAGCAACAGCCAATTTTTACACCGGCATGGCCCCAACCCTCAATTATTCAACCAATTTTAGCTTTGCAGTTTAACAACTAATAAAAACTCAGTTAACATTCAAGAGTTGTCATATAACACTTACACTTCAAAGATCCAGCTGCAAAGTACCATAGGTACTTTCACAATTTAACAAGAGATTAATTGTATAAACATCTAGAATAAGTGCATTACAGTTTACAGCAATTTTCCGAAAATGATCATGCTTTCAAAATTCACAATAGAAGATGTCACAAGTAGTCATGCTTTAAACTCATTTTAGAAGACAAGCAAATGGAGATATAAAAAATATAATTAGATCTAACTATCTAAGATTGTCAAACCCATTTTCACAAAGAAGAAAACACACCCAAAGTGAATAAAAGTTGGAATTTCCCTACCTCTAAAGAGAGTATTTTCTAACCCAAATCTTCAAGAAATTGCAGCTATGTTTTGGGGTTCTTTAACCTTGAAAGCCCTCCATTTGTATCTTCCTCATTCTCTCTCCATCTATTACTCCCCTTTTCATTCATTCCTTTCTTTAGCTTAATTCTCTTCTCCTCCCTCATATGTGTGATAAATGTAAATATATATTAAATAGTTTTTGTATATATTGCCCAAGAATGTGGGTTAAGCCAAAGGCTTCCATAGGAAGCCTTGTTGTCTTATAATATATATATATACTCATCCTTGGCAAGGCTTCCTTGGGAAACTTTTTCATCTTTTTCTCCATTGGGCTGTGGCCCAAGATTGTTGGGGCCTTTTGTTGAGTTTGTTTGGGGTCCATGGGGTTATGCCTAGGTCCTCTAGGGGTTTGATTGAGGTTTGGAGAGGTTGTACAGTGGATGCCCAAGCCCGCGACATTTGGAGGATAATGTCTCTGTGTGATTGGTGGTGCTTATGGACATAAAGGAATAGGAGATCCTTCGGTGGCGTAGAGACTCCTATGGAAGCTCTCAAGTTCTTTGTTCTTTTTTCTCTTTTTTGTTGGATTTTGGGGAGATTGTAAATCCATGGGGGAAATTGTTGATTTTTTTGGACTCTTTGAGAGCTTAGTGGCCTTCTTCGCTTTGTGTAGTTTTCTGGGCCATGTTCCCCGTTTGAACGCTTTCTAATACAATCTTACTACTTGTTCACATGTGTCTCTTTGGGGTACGGTTAGTTCATCGGGAGGATTGCCCTTCCTTGTAAAAAAAAAATATATAAATAAGAAAAGAAAAAAGAAACCTATTTATCTTGATTTTTATAATATTATATACACTTCAACACATGCACACTACTAATTATATGCATAACGTGTGAGAGTGGAGGTTTTGAAGCCCGATGGATCGGCGGGTCACATCTTGATGTTGTGGTATAGGAGGTTGGTGTCTAAGATTGTTGTGTGGGTAGGGAGACTTTCATATCATGGCTTTTCTCTCTTGTGGAGGATGGATCTTTGTGGGTCTTTTTGGAGTTTTGGCCTGGTGATGGATGGGGAGAGAGAGGTTGTGGGAGGAGCTAGACTATATTAGAAGGAGATAGAAGTATCCGTGGGGTGTGGCGGAGATGTCAGTGCTTCGATCCCTATTCGAGAGCTCTAGTGGAGGGAGATGCACTGTAGCGATGTAGCAGTTTTTCGGGTTTATTGACTCTTATCAGTTGATTGATCTTCTGATGGAGGGAGCTTATATCATGTGGTCTAGTGGCAGGGAGTGTTCCAAGTTATCTCATCTTGATAGATTTTTGCTCTCAGGGGAGTGGGAGGAAAATTTTCCAGATGTTGTGTAGTCAGCTTTGGCTAGGCCAGTCTCGGATCATATCCTGGTGTTGTTAGGCTGTGGTGTCATATGAATGAGGAGAACCCCATAGCAAGCTTTGGTCCTTGAAAGAAGATTTAAAGAAGTGGGACAAGGAGATTTTTGGCAACTTAGAGGGGAGGAAGAACAGACTTTTGATGGAGATTGCTGAGCTGGATTGGAAGGTGGATGAGGTGGGGTTGGTTGAGAAATCTGTGTGCTTCAACAAAGGAACGAGCCCTCACATATTTACCCAAAAAAACGAGCCATCACAAGAAAGGAGTCAGGGAAGACCTGCCGCCTCAAGAAAGGAACAAACCATCGTAAACACGTTTTGTAAAAAGAGTAATATTATATTGGATGTAGTAGCTTTTATAATGTAGGATATCAAGCCTTATGTATGTGTTCAGGAAGATCAAAATTCAAATGAGATGCTTCAAATGAGAAGGCGCCGTAAAACCTGTAGCCCAGATATGTGCTGTGCAAAATAATTGATGAAACCTCTAGCCACGTTTTCAGTCATTTTCCCATATTTTTTTGATAAAAGAATTATCTGTGTTCAGGAAGATCAAAATTCAAATGAGATGCTTCAAATGAGAAGGCGCCGTAAAACCTGTAGCCCAGACATGTGCTGTGCAAAATAAATGATGAAACCTCTACCCACCTTTTCAGTCATTTTCCCATATTTTTTTGATAAAAAATTATCTTTTATTTTATTTTCTCGGAAAATATAACATTATTGACACTTATATGACTAATGACTTTTTTCCAGTAGATGGTATTGTCTGGGTTGCCTCTGGATGTCCATTCTTAGTATGTGGGTGAAAATAGAACTTCTGTTCCTTTCTCTTATGCCGATTTATTGAGAAAGATCTTGGATTTTTGTGCTTCCTTCGAACAGTTATGACTTGTAACCCTTGGTTGACAAATAAAGATGCAGACAAACTGGGCTAATAGAGGGGACCATTTGGTGGTTTGTTGGTATCATTATGGATGTTTGCTTGTTTTGCCCCTTCTTTTCTTTTTTTTTCTTTTTTTTTTTTTTTTTTTTTTCTAGTTCAGAATATTTCCTCCTCTTCATTATACTTTCTCTTTTCTCCATATAATAATATTCTAGTTTCTAACGAAAAATTTTAAGTCTAATATTTTGACTAATACGTGTCCATAGTGCAATTCAGCCTGCCTAGGGGCATATCATCTACATTGCAGGCCATTTTTTCTATTCATCACCTTAAATCTTGTTCTGTTTGGCAATCTCCATGTCCTTATTGTTGCTTCCACTCGAAGCATGTTGTTCCTTACAGATAATTTCATTTCTGCTCATGATGAAACTGTCTTACATGTGTTTCTTGTTCTTGATTGGTGTTATTTTAATTTTATCACAAAGATATTAATTTCTTGATTACATACTCTGTTTATTTCTTATTATATCTTTCAGTTATATATCTATTTCTGATGCAATTAGATGTGTATTTAAAATTCATACAATTCATTGTTTTAATACTTGGACTAAGCTTCTTCATTAACCCTTTCTTTGTGTTTGACGGAAAAAGTATGTCTTTCTGCTCATGCTGCATAAGTTGAGAATCTAGATTGTCTCTCTCTCTCTCTCAAACGTTCTCTCTTGTGGCTCAGATATGCACATAGATGATTACAGTGATTTGGCAGTGTCTTTACACTCAACGAAGCATATAGCGAAAGAACAGTCACATTCACAAGTGGCTGATGATACAAGAAATGCTGAAACAGTGCAAGGTTTTGATAAAGCACTAGTGAATATAACATCCACATTCTCTTCTGAAAGAAAAGATAATGACAAGATTCTTAGGTCATCTTTCAAGAAGAAAGGTAGAGTTCTGTGCTCATCTAATAATAAAATTGCTTTTTGATAATTGTATTGTTCCGTCTTATATGTTTACTAGATATCCTTATTTGATTAATAGTTGCGGCTGAAGAAGTTACTGGATATATCATCTCAACTGGGATGATTAGTTCTTGATGGACTTATCATGCTAGGAAACTGTTTTTAAGAACTCTAGTACCCATTCATCTTTTCATCATCTTCGTTCCCTTTTATTTTTATTTTTTCAAGGGTTACAAGAATTTTTTTTGTAGCATAATTCTTTATCGTAGATGCCATACCTGCACCACTTTACTATAATGGTTTTTGTTGACTTTAAAAGATAATCAAATCAAGAATAAAGTATAAGAAGACGAAGAAAAAGAGAAGAAAGAGGATGAGAAAAAGAGAGAGTGATGGGGAAGGAGAGAAAGAATGAAAGAATACTTTCATCATTCCATCATATTCTATTTATACTAACAAGTTTCAGAAATTACATAAGCACCTAACGTTATAGAAGTAATAACAGATAAGCCCTTGACAACACTCTCCCTCAAGCTGGTGCAAAGATATCTATCATGCCCAGCTTGACTAACATATTTTGCAAGCAAGTCTTGCTCACACCCTTAGTCAAAACATCAACAACTTGATCATGTGTGTTGACGTAAGGAGTACAAATCAGGCCAAGACGAAGTTTTTCCTTGTTGAAGTGTCGATCGACTTCAATATACTTTGTTCTGTCATGTTGAACTGGATTGTGGGCAATGCTAATAGCAGGCTTGTTGTCACAATACAACTTCATTGACTCGCAAATAGGGTAACCAAACTCACCCAACATAGTTCGTAGCCATAACAACTCATAAACTCTATGTGCCATGGATTTGAACTCAGCCTCTGCACTAGATCTAGCTACTACAGACTGTTTCTTGCTTCGCCATGAAACAAGATTACCTCCAACAAATGTGCAATATCCAGAAGTAGATTGTCGATTTGTCACAAACCTTGCCCAATTGGCATTAGTATAGGCTTCAACACGCAAGTGACCATGATGGCCAAACAATATCCCCTTACCAGGTGAACCCTTGAGGCTGCAAAGAACATGATGAGCTGCCTCAAGGTGAGGTGTACGTGGAGCATGCATAAATTGACTAATCACATTAACAACGTAGATAATATCCGGGCGCGTGAGAGATAGGTAAATCAGTCTCCCAACCAATCGCTGAAATCTTCCCACATCATCTAATGGGCCTCCATCTACATCATTAAGCGTTTGGTTCTGCTCAATGGGAATATCAATAGGTCTAGCTCCAAGCCTGCCTATTCAGCCAACAAATCTAACACATACTTTCGTTGAAAAATGAACACCCTTTTCTTCGATTTGCACACCTCGATGCCAAGAAGTATCTCAATGATCCGAGGTCTTTAACCTCAGACTTTGTCCCCAAGAAAGACTTCATTCGATGAATCTCTTCTAGATCATTTCCAGTGATAACAAGACCATCAACATATACAATAAGGGTAGTGGTGTAGCCTTAATGCTTCTTGATGAAGAGAGTATGATTTGCCTGACTCTGTGTTTACCCTATTCTTTTCACAGCAGTGTTGAATCTCTCAAACCAAGCACGTGGCGACTGCTTTAGCCTATACAAGGCTTTATTTAGCTTGTACACTAAATTCTGACCATTGGCAAGCTTACCCTGTGGCATAGTTATATACCCCTCTTCCTCCAAGTCACCATAAAGGAAAGCATTATTTACATCCAGCTGATGTAAATGCCAATTCAAATTAGCTGCCAAAGAAAGGGCACGTATAGAGTTCATCTTGGCAACTGGAGCAAATGTTTCTAGATAATAAATCCTATAGGTCTGAGTGAAGCCCTTTACAACTAATCAGGCTTTCTATCTCTCAATTGTTCCATCTACATAATACTTTATTATGTATACCCATTTGCAGCCTACTGGTTTCTTACCCCTATGTAATGGAATAATATCCCAAGTAACATTCTTCTCAAAGGCCAAGGCCTTCATCTCTTCAAGCATAGTTTCGTTCCATAGAGTTTGACTGAGAGCATCTGAAACACTGAAATAGTAGAAGGAACAGATACAGAGGAGATACACAAAGTGAAAGCACAATATGTTGGAGATACTGCATTATAGGATACAAACTGAGATGTGGGATATTTTGTATAACTACGAACACCCTTACGATAAGCAATAGGGACATCAAGATCAACATGAATGCTATTGGGAAAATAATCAGGAGTATCAATGTCAATTGCGGAATTACTTGGATCGAGGGAGACTTCTTGGTCCTGGGGTGAGTCAATGACTTGTTTTGTCCTCCTATAATTGATTGCTTTCCCTGCTGCAAATCACTAGTGTTAGGAGGACTAGACATTGACTCCTCAATAATAAGCTCCACTTGAATAGGAACCTCCCCCTGAATGGGAACAGGCAAAGGAAGGCATTCCTTTTGAAAGGACGACGGATTCTTTGCCTGTATAGTAGTCTCCCACTATAGAGAATCCCGAGTAGTGGGAAAAAAAAGAACAAACTTAAAAAATTTATCATCCATGGAGCAAACCAACGAAGAATGGTAGGGTTATAACACTGATACCCTTTCTAAGTGGCGGAATATCCAAGAAAGACGCATCGGATTGTCTTAGGTCCCATTTTGTAATTGCGATGATGAATGTGAACAATATATATATATTTTTGATAAGTAAAATTGTATTATAAAGCGTTCAAGGGGAACGCGTCCCAAGAGCTATACGAATACCGAAACCAAAAAGGGGGTCCTAAGGACCCAAAGAACCTAAAAAGTCCACGATTTCATCTAAAGATATACAATTTCTCCCCATGACCCAACTAAAAAGAGAACAAATAATAGAAAACTTCAACACCCCAATGGAGGATTCCTCTCCATCAAAAGATCTTTTATTCCGGACTCCAACAAACATAAAGGGGGTCGCCTTCCAATAGCCACGAGCATGAACCCCCACCCTTTGGCCCCTCCACAACTGAAGAAAGTTTTTGAATAGGGAATTATATTAATTTCCTTCATTGTTTACAGATTGTATAAGGCCTATATATACAAGAAAGGACAGCTACACTCTAAACTATAAATAAGGAAAGAAATAAATGTACAAGGTCAAAGATTTATAGCTGCACAAACAATTGGAATCAGAGACTAAAATGGGAAGGAATCATTCCAATTTATTTAGGGAATAATTCCGAATAAATTGGATCTATAAATAAGGAAAGAAATAAATGTACAAAGTCAAATATTTGCAGCTGTACAACTAGAATCAGAGACTAAAATGGGAAAGAATCATTCCAATTTATTCAGGGAATTGAATAAATTGGATCCGAATCCTAGGTCAATCGCGCCTAGAATCCCAAATTTTCTGGTGATTTGTTTTTCCACACTCCCACTCAAACTGGCGTGTAGTCATGCCCAGCTTGCCAATTGAGGAAAGTTTTTGAATAGGGAATTCTATATTTCCTTCATTGTTTACAGATTGTACAAGGCCTATATATACAAGAAAGGACAACTACACTCTAGGCTATAAATAAGGAAAGAAATAAATGTACAAAGTCAAAGATTTGTAGTTGTACAAATAGCTGGAATTAGAGACTAAAATGGGAAGGAATCATTCCAATTTATTCAGGGAATAATTCTGAATAAATTGGATCTGAATCTTGGGGTCAACCGCACCTAGGATCCCAGATTTTCTGGTGATCAGTTTTTCCACTCCCCCTCAAGCTGGCGTGTAGATATCAGTCATGCCCAGCCTGCCAATTAACTCCTGAAACTGTCCTTTAGCCGGTCAAGGTATCAGCTAGCTGTTCTTTAGATCGGATGTAGGGAGTACAGACTAGGCCTCCTTCAAGTTTCTCCTTGATAAAGTGTCTGTCGATTTGTGTGCTATACTAATGGCTGCTTTGTTGTCACAGTATAGTTTCACAGGATTACTGCTTTCCAACTTCAGTTCTTTTAAAATAAACTTCAGCCAAAGTAACTCACAAATTTCTAAAGCCATTGCACGGAAATCAGCTTCAGCGCTTGATTTAGCCACAACTGTTTGCTTCTTACTACTTCATGTCACCAAATTACCTCCTACAAAGGTACAATACCCTGAAGTAGAGCGTCTATCACTAAGTGAACCTCCCCAGTCTGCATCGGTGTAGGCTTTAATCTCCATATTCCCATTTTTGGAGAATAAAATTCCTTTTCCTGGAGTGCCCTTGAGATATCTTAGGATCTTGAATGCAGCGTTCCGATGGTCTTGATTAGGAGGTGCATGAACCTGCTGACAATTCCCACGGCATAGGCATTATCAGGCTTAGTATGGGATAAGTAAATGAGCTTTCCAACTAATCGTTGGTACCTCTCCTTTTCCACCACTGGGCTTGTGGTTATACCATCAAGTTTGTGGTTAAAGTCAATATGAGTATCTTCTGGTTTGCATCCCAATAGGCCAGTTTCCTTAAGCAAATCGAGGATATACTTTGTGACAGAGATATTCCCTTTTCTGACCTTGAAAATTCTATTCCCAAGAAATACCTCAGATTTCCCAACTCCTTAGTCTCAAATTCTTTTGCAAGAGACTTTTTCAGGTCATCCACCTCGTTGTCATCATTATCGGTCACAATGATGCCATCAACATACACAATTACTACAGTTACCTTCCCTCCTTTGTGTTTGTAAAACATCTTGTGATCTCCTTGGCTTTGCATATATTCCTTACTTCGGACAACCTTGGTGAGTTTTTCAAACCAAGCACGTGATTGCTTCAGCCCATAAAGAGATTTCTTTAATCTACATACTTTCTTTTCTTCAAAATTACCTTTGAATCTTGGCGGCAGCTCCATATACACTTCTTCCTCAAGGTCTCCATGGAGAAATGCATTTTTTTACATCAAGTTGGTGCATCAGCCGGTCTCAGTTTGCAGCTGTTGATGCGAAACATTAGGCTTATGGTTATGCTCAATGGGAATATCAATAGGTCTAGCTCCAAACCTGCCTGTTTCAGCCAACAAATCTAACACATACTTTCGTTGAGAAATGAACACCCCTTTCTTCAATCTGCACACCTCGATGCCAAGAAAGTATCTCAATGATCTGAGGTCTTTAACCTCGAACTCTGTCCCCAAGAATGACTTCATTCGACAAATCTTTTCTAGATCATTTCCAGTTTTAACAATGTCATCAACATATACAATTAGGGCAGTGGTGCTGCCCTGGTGCTTCTTGATGAAGAGAGTATGATCTGCTTGACTCTATGTGTACCCTACTCTTTTCACAGCAATGCTGAACCTCTCAAACCAAGCACGTGGCAACTGCTTTAACCCATATAAGGCTTTATTTAGCTTGCACACTAAATTCTAACCATTAGCAGGCTTAAACCCCGGTGGCATAGTCATATACACCTCTTCCTCCAAGTCACCGCGAAGGAAAGCACTCTTTACATCCAGCTGATGTAAGGGCCAATTCAAATTAGCTACCAAAGAAAGAAGAACACGTATAGAGTTCATCTTGGCAACTGGAGCAAATGTTTCCAGATAATCAATTCCATAGGTCTGAGTGAAGCCCTTTGCAACTAACCGAGCTTTATATCTCTCAATTGTTCCATCTGCATACTTTATTGTGTAAACCCATTTGCAGCCTACTGGTTTCTTACCCCTAGGTAATGGAACAATATTTCAAGTACCATTCTTCTCAAGGGCCTTCATTTCTTCAAGCATGGCTTTCTTCCATGGAGTTTGACTGAGAGCATCTGAAACACTAGAAGGAATATATACAGAGGAGATACACGAAGTGAGAGCATGATATGTTGGAGATAAGGCATCATAGGATACAAATTGAGATATGGGATGCTTTGTGCAACTACAAACACCCTTACGATAGGCAATAGGGAGATCAAGATCAACAGGAAATGCTATTTGGAAAAGAATCAGGAGTATCAATGTCAACTAAGGAATTACCTGGATCGAGGGAGACTTCTTGGTCCTAAGGTGAGTCAATAACTTGTTTTGCCCTCCTAGTGTAAACAATTGGCATAAGAGATTTGATGGACAATCCCGTTATCAGCAAAAAAGGAGGTAAGACCTCCATACATAAACTCTCCTCCATTATCAGATCGAAGGATTTTGAGGGGACAACCAAACTGAGTACATACCATCCTATGAAAGGTTTTAAAAATGGAATGAACTTCATCTTTGGTTTTCATAAAATAAAGCCAAGTATATCGACTAAAGTCATCAACAAACACAACAAAGTAACGAAGTAGTAGATTCAGGACCCCACACAGTAGGATAAGAAACACGACATTGTTTGGCAAGAATGCATGTTTCACAATTTAACTCAAAAGATTCAACAGAAGCAAACTGGGGAAGCATGTGCTTCAAATCAGGAAGAGGTAAATGACCTAGTCTATTATGCCATCGCATCAACAGATTTTTATTGACATTACTATTCCTAACACTAGATTGATTTGTAACATAATAAGAAGTTGGCCTTGCGTTCAGCAAATACAAGCCATTGTCCTCACGTCCACTTCCAATCGTTTTCCTCGTGTCCAAGTCCTGAAACACACAGTGAGATGGAAAAAAGGTTACACTACAATTCAAGCCTTTTGTAATGTGACTGATAGAAAGGAGGTTATTAGTAAACTTTGGGACATGAAGAATAGAAGATAAGGTAAGATTAGGAGAGGCAGAAACTGTGCCCTTCCCCGCAATGGAGGTGAAGGTGCCATCAGCCACTTTAACCTTATCCTTATCAAAACATATCATGTGATCGTGGCTCCTGAATCAATGATCCAGGGTGGCCCACCAGATAATGTGGAAACCTGATGTGCCGAATGAGAGTTACTTGTCTGAGCGAAGTTAAAGGTGGAAACGGAGGAATGTTGTGTTAGTAGATGTCGGAGAGCATCAAGTTCAGCCTCGGACAAAGAACTCGGTTGCCCTGAGGAGGCATGACTAGTAAAAGCAGTCTCACGCTCTGCAATATGTGCCGTAGATAACCCCCCTAAATGGACCAGGCCTTGGCCTAGCATTCGCATTAGCAGGAGCTGCAGTAGGGCGGCTGTGTAGATTCTAGTATGTTTCCTTAGTGCGGTGCGTACGCCCACAGTGATCAAACCTCAACTTGCTTTTGTCATCATGTTTCCCTCCTTTTGGAGGATTGGGCTTGTTCCATTGTTGTGTGGCAAGAGCAGACATCTCAGACAATGGTACTTCTGGCATAGGCTTAGTGTATATAGGTGCAGACACAACCTTCACTCTACTCTTCTCAGCCTGGATATATGAAAACACATCTCTAACAGAAGTAGGGGCTGGATACCTGCCTAACATTTGTACCCTGGCATGCTTGTATCTCGGATGCAGACCACCCAAGAACTCATAGATTTGATTCCTTTCTACTATAGCATGAAATGCTTTAACATCAGCTGCACACACAGGTATATAGACTTGGTAGTGATCTAACTCTTCCCATTTAGCACGTAGAGTGTGGTAATATGTAGCAAGAGTTTGGTCTTCCTTCTTAAATCTTGAAATCTGTTGTTGGAGTTTATACAATTTTGCAAAATTACCAACCGAGGAATACGTCTCTACCACAGCCATCCATGGCTTTTTAGCTATTTTCACAAACAGAATCTATGGCTGCATTGACTGTAACAACCACGTCATAACTAGTGCATTATTTGCAGTTCACTCTTTGAATTCAGGATCGCTTTTGGAGGGATATGTGACAGTCCCTTCTATATGGTCGATCATCCCACGACCAGTGATATGCATACAAGCAGATTGAGCCCACTCCATATAGTTCGTCTTATCCAGCCTAATAGTCACAATACAAAGGCTTGGATGGTGATCACTACCACTTCCCAATACTGGAGTCAGACTAGGAGAAGACCTAGCTTCTTTTGAAGTCACCTCTGGGCCAAACATTTTATCAAACAGTTTCTGGGTATACAATCCTCAGAAACAAAAACAGCAACAAAATACGTAGAGAACCACCTCTCTGACACACAAACTTCAACTAAAAAGATTACCGTCTTCTGAGATGTATAAAAAAGCGACCACATAGTCACCACATAAACCCTAGAATTCAACAAAGTAGATCATACCAGAATCGCGAACGACGAAGAAAAAGCCACTGTTGCAGAACCTCGCGAATACAAAAAAACACCAATCGAGATTGCAATAGATAAAAAACAGGTCCAAAAAATCCCATCAGGTTCAAAACCCTTCACACCCACTAGGGTTTACACAAACTTTCCCTAGGGTTTCAACTACACACCTAAAGCTTTACAAACCATGCACTGATACCATGTTGACTTTAAGATACAATCAAATCAAGAGTAAGTGATAAAGAAGAAAAAGAGAAGAAAGCGGATGAGAGAAAAAGAGAGAGATGGGGAAAGAGAGAAAGAATGAAAGAATACTTTCATCCTTCCACCACATTCTATTTATAATAACAAGTTTAAGAAATTACACATAAGCCCCAACATTATATAAGTAATAACAAATAAGCCCCTGACAACACTTTTATCACCTTAAAATTGGAATTTGTTCTGGAATTTTGGAGAAGTTTATAAAAGTTATAATCCAAGTCAGTCAAATATAATGGTAAGGTTTTTCCCAGTATATGTTTTTTTAATTCATTTGTTTTGTCATATATATATATTCAGGCTCTCAATTTGGTGAAATTACTTAATGAGAATTATCAGAAGTTGTTTTCATTAAAATATGTTCAGTGTTTAAAGTTGCCTAAAAGTATCCAACCTTTTACCTTTACAGTTTGTAATTATGCGAAGGGTAGATGGGTTGCAGACAACCGCCACCCACTGTATTCTGGGTTTGGTTGTAAGCAGTGGTTATCGGACATGTGGGCATGTAGACTGACCCAACGCACAGATTTTTCTTATGAGGGATATCGTTGGCAACCAGAAAATTGTGAGATGCCAGAATTTGAAGGGTCAAATTTCTTAAGAAGGTATGCATTCTGTTAAATCCCATTTCATGTTGAACCTTTAGAAGATTTGTTCTCCATTATAATTATGCTTATTTCAACACGTTTTACTCGTCCTAACAAGCTTTTGAAACAGTTGAGGAAGACTAAATATAACCAAGTTCCTTTCAATGTAACCCATCATATATTTTAAATATTTTAGGAACGAAAAAGAAATCAAAAAGAAAAAGAAAAGAAAAGAAAAGACAGATTTCAATTAATTTTACTACCCTAAATGTGACTAAATTCCAGAATGCAGGACAAAACTATTGCTTTTGTAGGAGATTCCCTGGGCAGGCAGCAATTCCAATCTCTCATGTGCATGGTCACTGGTGGTGAAGAGAGATTGGAAGTTCAAGATGTTGCATGGAAATATGGTCTTGTCAATCCTCGTGGAGCAATTCGTCCTGATGGCTGGGCTTATTATTTTCCGGACACCAACACTACAATCTTGTATTACTGGTCAGCAAGCCTTTGTGGCATACAGCCCGTTAACGACACAGATCCAGCAACTGAATTCGCCATGCATTTGGACCGCCCTCCAGCATTTTTGAACCAATTTCTGGATCACTTTGACGTTCTGGTTCTTAATACAGGACATCATTGGAACAGAGGGAAACTCAAAGCAAATAGGTGGGTGATGTATGTAGACGGAAAGCCTCTTGAAGATAGGAAGCTTGCACAAATGGGGAATGCAAAAAATTTCACAGTTTATAGTATTGCCAGATGGCTTGATTCGCAAATTCCTTCACATCCACAGCTTAAAATTTTCTTTAGGACCATCTCACCAAGGCATTTCTTTAATGGGGACTGGAACACTGGAGGGAGCTGTGATAATACCACTCCATTGGCTGGTGGGAGTGTTGTTTGGCAAGATGAATCCAGTGATCCTGTTATTTCTGGTGCTGTTAAGGGCACAAAGGTGAAGATTCTGGATATAACTGCACTTTCTCAACTGAGAGATGAAAGTCACATATCGCGCTACAGTATAAAAGCATCGGAGGGCGTACGGGATTGCTTACATTGGTGTCTACCTGGCATTCCCGACATATGGAATGAAATCCTTTGTGCACAAATATAGGGTTAATCATGTCATCTGAACATGGCATTAAGGCATAGTCAGTAGAAGCGGCATTCAATTCAGTCCCAATAACCAAGTATTGTGTTTCTTAAAGGTACAGTGATAACATAGAAGAGAGTTAAATAACCAAGTATTGTGTTTCCAGTGAAAACTTAGGAGGTATTCAATTATCCAGATAGAATGTCAAATTGATAGTTATCTCATGGATTTCTTTTGTAAGTTCAAATTGCAGTTAGATTAAGAAAGCAGCCTTGCGGCTTTTTGTTCTTCCCAAGAGCCATCCTATCTAATTACTTTACCTGCAGTTCTTTTTTTTAAATGCTCATTCATCCTATAGTAATTCTAGAAAGAAATCTTGTGATCATATCATCTACACAACATTGTATCGAATATTTACTATTTATCGTTATATTGACCTGAAGGAAGCTGATTTACTTAATATTTTCTTTTTGAATTGGACACTTTTATTATTGGGTAGAGTGTAAAAAAGAAGAAGCTTGATTTCACTTTAAAAAATTGAATACAAGTACCTCATAAATGATTGGTTAGAGTGTAAAAAATAAAAATAAAAAAACACCTTGAAGAATGGCCAAATATGTAAATAACCCTTGAACTATTTTTATTTTTATTTTCTAAACCCTTGCACAATAATCTAGTATTGAATACCCCTCAACAATTACATTTTGTTACAAAATGCCCCATATGCCTATCGGATGGCTATTTTTCATTAAATGATTATAATGCATTTTCTTATTAATACAATTAATCTATTTTTTTATTTTTATTAAAATCAATTATGAAAAAATTCATACTATTTTGATGATAATAGTTCATCAAATGTGCACAAATTTATCATTAATTATTGAAATTAGTTGTTTTAATAAAAATCATGAGTAGAAAATTTTAAAACAATTTAAGTAATTTTTTAATTTTTCATGAATATATTGCATGAAAAAGAAAGTATTTAATTAATTAAGTAATTTCTTAATTTTTCATGATTATATTGTATGAGAAAAAAGTAATTTTTTACGATAAAAAAGTATAAATTAAGTATAATAAATTTTATCATAAATAAAAAGTTTATATAATAAATTTTTCCTTTTACAAAATGACTAAATTTTTTAGTAATACAACTCACCAACACAATTAATCATTTGATAAAGAGAAAAGATAATAAAAATAATTTAATAAGAAATGACAAATTTAATAAGAATGGATAAAATTGTCTTTAGTGATGGTATGTTTTTAATTGTAACAAATCATCAGGGCAATTGTAATTTAGAAGGTTATTTGCAAAATGTACATTGTGTGTAGGGTGGCATAGTTTGACACGAGCCACCAACATAGCACAAGTTAAACGGGTTTGGGTCTAAAACAATCCGTTTAGTAAATTGTGTCGTATTTGGGTTAAGGGGTTCAACCCGTGTAACTCACTTATACCCGTTTAACTATATATGTTATAAATAAAATTCTATTAAAGTTCCAAAATAACTATCTAATTTTATATCTTATAATTTATTCTTTTGTAGATTATAAATTATTTAGTAATTTGGTTGGATTGAAATTTATATTTTTCTAGTATTTAATGTTTGATAAAGTATTATTAATAATTTAAATAATAAAATATTTGATTTTATTAAACAGGTTACACTTGTAACTCGTTTAATAAACAGGTCGGGTTAGTATTGAGAGTTCTTGACAAAATTATTAAACGGGTCGTGTTCAGATTGAGCTGTTTAAACGAGCTAGTTTTATTAGCCTTGAACTCAAAGAGTCAAATTAATGATAAACAACGAAAACATAGGAATTGTGAAATCACTCACGGCACCATTAATGTATACCTTCTACCAAATAGCATTTCATGTCATTCCTAGTTGGGCTCGAGATCAAGACAAAGGCTTGTATATAAATCTTAGGGTATTTTTACTACAGCTGAAAATGAAATTGTTATGGGACACAAGGAATTTATAACAAACAAGCTTATCCATAAGAAGTATAAAAGATGATTAACATGATTAGAAAAGGGGCAGTGAGGTAAAATGAGTTCCTTGCTTTCAACTCATCCGAAGAGTTGGTTCGTTTGAAAGCAAAATGGAGAGGCAAAATGGGGTGAATACAGCTGGGCACTCTTTGTTTGTTGTTGGATTGCCATGTCAAACGAAGAAGTAAACAAAACTCATTTTTGCAAGTGGTTTGGATAAAAGTCTTGTGTCTGAGGCGGTCTGGACTTTTCTCCCTTGTTTGAGTGATTGCTAAATGTCATTCCTTGGGTTTGATATATCATTCCAACAATCCTTGGTGAAATGAGCAAGTTGCGAGTTTATTTGGGGAAAGCACAACGAAGAGGATAATCCGTACCTCTGTTTTCGAAAAACTCTCTACACTACCAGTGAATGTAGTGTCCAATGATCTTCTCGCTGAATGGGAATCTCGCCCTCCACAACGTCCACCGCCACAACCACCTGACGGCGGTGCAACGAGGCAGTGACGCAGCGGTGCAACGATTGCTTTTGTTAGGTCACCGGATTGTTTAATAGCGTCATTACCGGAAGCTATGTTGGGTAGGGCCTTGGCTCGGGTTGGCCATAAGTTGGGTTAGTCTTGTTCGGCCTGTTGGGCCTGGTTGTAATCTTTTGCTTACGCTTCACTTGGGCCTTGTACAGTTTCTTCCATGTTTATACAATTGTTTTACATTTCAAAAAAGAAAAAGAAAAAAGAATTGACTGGGGAATGGGTTTGAAATTGGGTCAAAATGGGGTTTTAACCTGTGCTGAACTTAGCATATGGTCATACGAAACAAAATCCACTTCGGCATAATAGTATGTCTGCTGCAACGTGTCAAGAAAAAATTGGGATATATGTTTGAGATGTATGTTAAGACATAGGTTAGGAAAATATTGAGATGTAAGGCCAACATCTCAATATTTTGGTAATATGTATCCCAAACAAAACTCACTAATTGCAACAGATACACTATTGCACCGGAGAGGATTTTGGTCATAATGGCAGTTTGACCGGTATTGGACTTCAAAATAATACACAGCCAAAGCGGCAGTTTGACTGGTAATGAAGAATTTGAAACTTATATAGTCATAGTTGACCTATTGAGACCGGTCCCTTTTTTATTTTATTTTGTATCTTCTTTTTTGTGTTTATTTTTTGAGTTCGGGTCTTACCGAATTAAATCGAGTCAAGTGCTCGGGAATAATTCTAGTACTTCATTAGAGATTTGTGTTGCACTTATTTTTGTTTCATCTTTTATTATTTGGGGATATTTGCACGGTTAAGGTTTGAGAACATTTTCATTATTTGAAACCTTTGGGCAAATATCTTTTGAAGATATTTTCATTTGAGACAATAATGCGATTATCTTTTTAGAATATTTTCTTAGAAAAACTTTTGTGCAATTAGTAAAAATTAGGACAATGTGCCTTAATTGGGTTAGGATTCTTGCACGAGTCTTTTTTTTTTGGCCTTTCTTCAAGTTATGAACTTTTAGAAATGCATTCCAAAATTTTATTTTATTTTATTATTATTATTATTATTTTTCCCCATTTTAAGATTTTTGACCCACGTGTTGGTTCGGGATGCCTTAGATTTAACATGTGAAATGTGTCAAGTAGTTAAACATGTTCGTTCCAATTATCTTATTAACAGTAATAAAATTGCTCATCATTTTTTATCTTGTTCATTCAGATGCACTCATTCATAGCTCTTATACAAGAAAAATATGTAAAGGCTTGAATGAGATTCACTCATTCATAGCTCTGATATATATATATATGTTCTAAAGAACACCTGCTAACATTGCAATAAAGGAATTTGAATAAAATTGTCTAGACGCGTAAATAAAGTCAAATTCCATGATACTAGACTACCATATCTCAGCTAATATAGTAAGTCAAATTTCTTGATTTTAGGATATCATTTCTAGGCTAACATACACGAACTCGAACCAAGCCATTGCCAAGGGCTGTTCATGAACAACTCTGTTAATTTACATCCCTAAGCAATTGCATAATAATTAATTAAGCGAATAGAAACAAACTAATTTGACTTGTTTGACACAAGCTGTATAAACAAAATAATGGAATAACTGAAAATGGAAATTTTAAAAGTTCTACAAGACCTATTACACAAGCTGTATTTCTCTTTTGCTGTTAATTTCATTTGTCGATATCTGCATCAGCCAACAAATGCTCACTTTCAAACTAGAGGATTTTGTGTTACACAAAAGGTACTCTTGGGCATGGTACTCGAACCTGCTGCAGCTACTACAGGATTATGAGAACTTGAACCCCTTATCCTCCACAAGAATTGAGGCAGCAGATACTAGGAAAACACAAGGTCAAACATACTACACACAATGTGGAGGCTTCTATTTTCTCAGAATCCAAACAATATGGAACCTAAGGTTCAAAATTTTCAATTTCCTTTCTTTTCAAACTATATATATATATATATATATATATATATATATATATATATCTGAGAGAGAGAGAGAGAGAGAGAGATGCGCATTTTTTGTTCAGTGAAACAAAGGTAATATGCCCCATTGATGCAGAAACCCCTCCCCAGTGGTCACTTCTAGGACCAATAGAACAAGCACCGCCAACATAGCGGCCCTCCCATTCCAAGTTTCAGCACTTTTTGTCCAACCCCATTCCCACACAGTCACAGGTGGTGGAAGTTCCCGACGCTGTGAATCATATGCTGCCAATAGCTCTTCTACACTGCCAAGTGGAACTAGGGACTGTACAAGTCATACCAATAACCTCAATCAGACAGTAAAATAGTGGTGCAGAACACAGGCATTCTAGGACATAAATAATATATTTGAAATTAGTAAACTCCGGACATACTTAATGTACATACATATGGGAGTTCCTAAGAAATATTTTAAGGTCCTATTGTTCTTCACATATGCATGTGGCGTGTGTGCCTTGGGAGATTGAGAATGTGGTGTCCCATACAAGCATTCCATTATACAAGATGGAACTTTTTTAAACCTTGAAATGGAACAGCCAATCCATGCGAAGCCAAGGCTATGTTCATCTGACCCTCCGAATGAATAAGAATATTTTATGAAATTCATTCATGAGTGATCTGATGCATGAGAGAATTCCAGTCAGTTAGACAAGTCCGTTTTCAACAAAACAGGAGGTTTTTTTTTTTTTTTTGTTTGGGTGGAAACGACCCATTGAGAAAAATCCACTAGTTTAACCTCAATCAGACAGTAATATAGTGGTGCAGAACATGGGCATTCTAGGACAGAGACAATATTTTTGAATTTAGTAAACTCGGGACATACTTATTGTACATACATATGGGAGTTCCTAAGAAATATTTTAAGGTCCTATTGTTCTTCGCATATGCATGTGGCACGTGTGTGTTGGGAGATCGAGAATGTGGGACATACAAGCATTCCATTATACAAGATGGAACTTTTTTAAACCTTGAAGTAAAACAGCCTCTCCATGCGAAGCTAAGGCTATGAACATCTGACCCTCCAAATGAATTAAAATATCTTATGAAATTTATTCGTGAGTGATCTGATGCATAAGAGAATTCCAGTCAGTTCGATGAGTCCATTTTCAACCAAACAGGAGTGATTTTTTGGGTGGAAACGACCCATTGCAAAAAACTCTATAGTTTAAGCTAGTGGGCAATGTCGGTTTTTGGCTGAAAACCTTCGTTTAGGACTCCGAAGTGGGTTTTTCTTGTCTTATAGGGGTCCTGCTAATTATTTCGGGATTTTTATTCGAGGCCTAAACAAATGCTTTGAGATTTTATATTTATCATTTTTTTATTTTTAGGTTTCTTATTATTTTTTTTTCAGAATTTTTAGAAATAATTTATTTTTAGGCTTATATTTAGTATTAGTTTCCTTATGTTTTTATTTTCCTTTAGCTGATAGGTAGCCTTTCAGTATTAGGTTTTTTTTTTTATTATTATAAATATGCATGTACGCTACAACAGAGTTTAACCTTTGATTGATAATATTTCAGAAATCTTTGCGAATTTTCTTCAACTTCGTGGATTAAAAGTTACCCCTTGTTCCCTTGTGAACATTTCATAGCTTCTGCTACGTCAATTGGTATCAGAGACTTGATTTACCCTGGTTTGCTAGTGATTGATCATTTTGGTTTCAGCCACCTTATCGACGATGATCGTAGAGTGAAGGCCCCTTGGGCAACTATGCATACTAAAGAACGGTTCGTAGCAACATGTTTTGGGATTTGTGGCAACCAGGTTCATGGTTCAGTCCGAGTTAGCGTTGATAATGTCTCCCACAACTAAATGTGGGTTATGTTCCTGTTTATCCATGTAGGCCTCCAGCCTATGCGGATTATTCCGGAGATGAGAAATTCGCATTCAGCGGACAATTGTGAGTTTCAAGCAAAACTTGATCTACTTACTTTCAATGGAAGTATTATTATTGAATATGTCTTGGACTAACTTGAAGAAGTTGAAGAATCTTTCAAGTATTTTGATGTACCTGAAAACAAGCAAGTTCCACTTGTTGCCTTCAAGCTTAAAGGCTAGGCTTCAATTTGGTGGGAACGAACACGGATTAACCGGAGGAGGCAAAGAAAACTGCCTGTGCGGTTATGGTACAAGATGAAACAGTAGAAATATAATGTAGAAGAAAGAGAAGATAAATATGTAAAAGGTTTGAATGAGATTTATAATATGTAAAAGCTTGAATGATATCAATCACTCATTCACAGCTCTAGTATTTATAGATAAAATAAGAGCACATGCTCATATTATAAGAAAAGAAATTAAATCAAATCTCTGCTACTATGGTAAGTCATTCCATAAATCATGGCTATCATACATGCTAACATATGCATAATCAAATATATGTTAATATGGTAAGTCATTCCATAAATCGTGGTTAACATATATGCTAATACTCCCCCTCAAGTTGGTGCGTGGATATCTGAAACGCCCAACTTGGACAACGCATCTTCAAACACGGTCTTGCTAACACCCTTCTTCGGAATCTACAAGTTGCAGAGTGCAACGCTGAGTGCAAATCTGACTAGATTAAAAATGTCGATCAACAAACCAAAATGTTTCCTCAGACTATAAACAATTAATAATGTCTCCTTAGACCATAAACAACCAATTATGTCTCCCCAGACCATAAACAACCAATAGTATCTCCTCAGACCATTTCCCTTCACATGTTTAAAATTTGTAAATGGAAGAATCAACAATGTCTCTTCAGACCATTCCCCTTCATACATATATTTAAACAATGTAGATGAAAGAATCAATAATGTCTCCTCAGACTATTTCTGAATGGGTGGTGCCAAACTCGCAACGCCCTCATTGAAGTCGGATCACCCTGCCTACCCGACACCTCCCTGATGGGCGATCTCACCTTAGACCATTCCCGAATGGGTGGTGCCGAACTTGCAATGCCCTCATTGCAGTCGGACCACCCTGGCTCTGATACCAAGTAGAAATATAACAAGAAGAAAAATGAGAGGATTGTGTAAAGGCTTGAATAATATCAATCACTCATTCATAACTCTAGTATTTATAGGTAAAATAAGAGCACATGCTCATATTACAAGAAAAAAAACTAAATCAAATCTAAATCAAATCTCTACTATTATGGTAAGTCATTCTATAAATCATGGCTATCATATATGCTAACATATGCATAATCAAATCTATACTAATATGGTAAGTCATTCTATAAATTGTGGCTAGCTATCATATATGCTAACAGAAACGGATGTTGATGGCTAAATTCCTACCACCAAATTATAAGAAGATGATGTATCAAGAATATCAGAATTGTTGGAAAGATGGTCCATCTGTCAAAAAGTCTATTGAGGAAATTTACAAAATCGATAGTAGCCTCAACGATAATAATAATTTGGTTGAAGCAATGAGTGATTTTATTGAGATTGATGATGAGCAAAATTGTGTTGCTTCACCTATTGCAATTAAAGTTGAAGAAGTCAAGGATGTGAAAACATCAATTCCTTTGTACAAGTTGGCAGATAAAGAAAAAGAATTCAAAATGACAAAAGAAGACGATGGTGACAATAAGTTCAACGCTGAAAGTAAGAAACATGAATTAGTTGATGATGGGATCAACGAAATTTCTAAATTGCATGTCCAAGATGGTATAGAAGAATTTAGGCATCAGGTTGGTGAAGAATCATCATGTGAGCAAATTGTAAGTGAACAATTTTTATTCTAGAGAATGGGAATGAAGATATTTTAGTGTCGTGCTTTGAAGTTTCTCATGGCAATGAATGACATGATTTTGTGGCAGGTAAGACTTCACGTTATTCGCAACCAAACTCGAGGACGAGCTTTTTTTTTTTTTTTAAGTGAAGGCACTGAAGGGGACTGATGTAAGACAGAAGTTAGTCAGTTTGACGAGTCCGTTTTCAACCAAACAGGAGTGCTATTTTTTGGGTGGAAACGACCCATTGGGAAAAACCAGCTAAAGCTAGTGGGCCATTACGATTTTTGGCTGAAAACCTTCGTTTAGGAGTCCGAAATCAGGTTTTTCTGTCTTATAGGAGGCTTATTGATTATTTCGGGATTTTTATTCGACGCCTAATCAAAGTTGGAATGCTTTGAGATTTTATTTTTAGTAGTTTTAAATGTTTAGATTTCTTATTTTATTTTTTCATAATTTTTAGAGAGAATTTATTTTTAGAATTAGTTTCCTTATTTTTTTAGTTTCCTTTTGCTAATAGGTTTCCTTACATTATTAGGTTTTTCTTAACAAAAAATTATAAATATGCATGTATGCAACAACAAAATTTAACCTTTGATTAATAATATTTCAGAATTCTATGTGAATTTTCTTCAATTTGTGGATTCAAAGTTACCCTATGTTCCCTTGTGAATGTTCCATAGCTTCCGCTACGTCATATTCACAAAATATGAGGTTTTGAGACCTTTTCAATTTCATTAGTCGTACAAGATTCTCTGAAGAAAGAACTTCAAGTTTTGTCCGAAGGGTTTGAAAGGTACCCCCCACCCCCCAAACAATTAGAGGCAAGTAGTCAACCATAATCCACTGCGCAAGATAAATTACTTCTGGTCGGTGAATTAAGCCCATTTGAGAAAAATTATCGACCTTCTTGCTCTAGTGCTGCCTATACTTTGGTTTATTCATGGTTGAGCCAATGATGGAACCGACTTCTAGCTAATAGGGGACCTGCACAATGCATGTTACTAATTCCAGAAACAATTTCCACACTTGGATGGCTTTTGTACTTTTGTTGGCTGGGTCTACATATGTTTCATTAGATCATGTAGGTCGTTCCATTTTTTTGTTATCTTCTTCTTTTATTTATTTATTTATTTTTTCTCTTTCCCGAACTACTTGGGCTCGGCTCAATTTGAGCTCAATTCGTGTCCGTTTATTTACTAAATGAACCGAGCTCAAACAAAATTATCGGGCTCGTTTATTAAATGAGCCAAGCTTAAACGGTATCCTGCTCGACTCGTTTATGTTCGTGAACAAGCTTGCTTCAGGCTCGTGAACACTCACATATATACACATATACATATATATATACATTTTCATATATTTATGTGTCCTAATAGGTATTTTAATGATTTAGATCTATTTCAAGCTCAAATGCAATAATCCAAGCCAACCCAATTCAATTTGTTATATTGTGTTCTCTTTTTAAAATAAAATTAGCCCAACAAACCAACCCAATCCAATTTGTTAATATTTTCTCTTCTAAATATAAAACTAACATAGCCCATAGCTTAATTTGCAAGCCCACTTTGGGTTATCTACTTCAAACCCTAAACATCACGTTCTATATTCACTTTCTGTTGTCTCTTCTCTAAACCGTAGCCGCGAATCACCCCCACCCCCCCAAGCGACCGACGTTGGCAACAGCGGAACTGCTGCAAATTGCCTCTTGAAGCAAATTGGTGTTCTTCTCTCTCTCTTATCCTCCTCTTATCTGGTATCACTTCTCCGTTCTCTTCATATTGGCGTTAATGCTCAAAATCGAAAGGGGTATTTTAGTTTGTGAAACTTTGGAAATCAAATATTGAGAGAGCATTGATGAGGAAGTCAAGATCAGTTGATATGCATATAGATTTATATATGCAGATTGTGTTTTTTTTTTTTAATGAATAATCAAGCTGATGAGCCGAGCTCAATCACAGGTGGTGACGGCTTGATCGAGCTTGACCAGTGCTCTGTCTGTGACGAGCCGAGCCCGAACCCACCATAACTCTGCTCGGCTCAATTGCAGCCCTACATAGGTCGTTCCATTCCTTTTTTATCGTTTTTTTTTTTTCTCTTTCTTTCTTTTTTGTTTTTTCATTATTCTTCTTGGTGCACTGTCCTTCATCCATTTTTTTACCAAAAATGAAGGAAATTGAAATCATAAACAGAAGTACAAAACATAAGCTAATAATACAAGCTAAAAAAAATGAGAATTAAGAACAATGCAGCTTGTAGCAGTCAATTGTTGTTAGGCATTACCTGTCGAGCTTCAAGATTCGAGACTGCCATTGCTCCTACATATGGGAGACTTTCAATCACAGCATCAGCCAAATCTGAAATGAAAGTGGGCTCACATCCCAGAGCAGGAACACGACCCCATTTCTCTATACCAGATTTTAGAGCCAACTCTTTGTACTCAACATCAATTTCTTCTAAAGTTTCAATATGCTCACTGACAAAGCTGTGAATCAGTGATGCAAAATATAAAAAACACATAAAGAATTGATAACCAAGAAATATAAAAAACACAAAAATAATTGATAACTAAGAAATAGTTATATATATATATATATATATATATATATAATTAAGTAATTAATTACAATTATAATGTTGGAATATAGAGGTCTAATAGTAAACAATCTGATAAAATATCATTTAAAGCTACATAGTTGACAGTGCCAAATACCTAATTGGAACGGCAAGAAGACTTTTTACCCCTTTTTGCCCAAGCTCAATGATTGTCTCATCAGTATAGGGTTTTAACCATTCCACAGGTCCAACTCTACTCTGTATAAACATTAAGAACAAAACCATTGTCATAATTACACCACCAGTATGTGTGTGTGCGTGTGTGTGTATACATATATATATATATATATACGGAGAACAGGCATATTACAGACAATTTCATTTTTCGTAAGGATAAAAATATAAAAATAATGGCTGCGGATGTTCTTTCTAGAATGGCTTGGCCTTCTTAATGGATGAAAGATTAGAAATGGTACACAATTTTCAAAGCCTTCCACAAGGAAATTGAAAATTAACTTGACATAATATTTTGTGTTGCATAAGAAATGTAAAATAAAAGCCTTTTTCTGTTCAAATCACATATGTTGGACCACAACAATGTTAATTAACTTGGTGTGCGGATCGGATGTTTCTGTGTGTCTTGTTCCTTCTCTATGAAGGAGGATGGTTTTCAATGGGTTTTTTCGGGCATTTATGGTCCGAATGATGATGACTTGCATCACCTGTTGTGGGCAAAACTTGGTTCTGTCCAAAGGAGATGGTCGCTTCCATGGTGTGTTGGATGGGACTTCAACGTCATTCGGTCCCCAATGGAGAGGTTGACTGGGGGAGGTGGACTTCGGCTATGGAGCAGTTCTCAGGGTTCATAGACGACTTTCAGTTGATTGATTTACCTTTGAAGGGTGCATCCTTCACTTGGTCCAGTGGTCGCTTGTCTCCTACACTCTCTTGCCTTGATAGATTCCTTGTATCTGGAGATTGGGAGGTGTCCTGGACGTTGTTCTGGCGGCTTGGCTAGACCAACCTCCGATCATGTTCCCTTGATTTTGGATTGTGGTGGAATGCGTAAGAGAAGCTCTCCCTTCCGTTTTGAGAATATGTGGCTTCGAGCTGAGGGATTTTCTGAGAGAGTCTGTTCTTGGTGGGAAGGTTATGATGTGAGTGGTACCCCAAGTTTTACTTTGGCAGGCGGCTTCTAAAGGAAGACATCAAGAGGTGGAATAAGGGGGATTTTGGGAACTTGGAATGGAGGAAGAATCATGCCTTCTCTGAGATTGCAGAGATTGATCGGAAAGAGGGGAATGGGTAACCTTGAGGAGGCTTTAGGACGATGGAGTGTAAGGCGGAGATTGCCACCTTAGACAAGATTTCTTGGAGAATAAATCTAGAGCCTTGTGGCTTAAGGAGGGGGATAGAAACACGAAGTTCTTCCATAGGCTCGCAAATGCTCATTGTAGAGGTAACCATATTGGGAGGATTCGTGTGGAAGGGGAGATGTTGTGTAAGGAAGAAGAGGTCTGTAGGGGGGTTTCCTCTTACTATCAGAAGTTGTTCACAGAGACTCATAGTTGGAGATCTTTGCTTGGGGGTCTGCAGTTTGATTCGATTTCTCGTGTGGAATGTGAAGGATTGGAAAGGCCTTTTTCTAAAGAGGAGATGTTGAATGCGGTAAAGAGCTATAATGGGGACAAAGCCCTAGGTAGCGATGGTTTTACTATGAGGTTCCTTTTTCAAAGCTGGGAGATGGTTAGGGGAGAGGTGATGGGTACTTTTCATGCTTTTCACTCTAAATTTTGGATTCTGTCCTGATTGCTGGTGAGTGTGCGGATTCTAGATTGTGCAGCAGGTTTCCTGGTGTTTTGTGCAAACTGGACATTGAGAAGACTTACGATCATGTCAGCTGGAGCTTTCTTCTTTATTTGTTGGAGAGGATGGGATTTGGTAAGAGATGGAGGAGATGGATCGAATTTTGTATTTCCAGTTTTCGCTTCTTGGTCATTGTGAACGGCTCTCCGACATGATTCTTCATTTGAGAGGATTGAGAAAGGGGGATCCGCTTTCTCCCTTTTTGTTCCTCATTGTGATGGAGGCTCTCAGCAGATTGATGAGAAGGGTTGTGAATTTGGGCTTTTTGCGAGGTTTCCGGATGGGTAGAGACGTTTCCATACAGTTGGAGATATCCCATTTGATGTTTGCCAATGACACTTAGGTTTTTTGTGATGTGGAAGAGTCTGAGATGAGGTATTTGAGTTGTCTTTTGACCTGGTTTCAAGTCGTATCTGGCTTGAAGGTGAACGTGGGAAAGAGTGTGTTGGTTCCTGTTAAGGAGGTTCCCAAGATATCCACTCTAGCTGACATTCTGGGGCGTAGCATTGGCTCTTTTCCTATTTCTTATATAGGGTTGCCGCTTGGGGCACCGGCAAGGAGAGTGGGAAGTTGGGATGCGTTCCCCTGTTTGAACGATTTCTATTACCTCTTTACTTATCAAAATATATATATATGTGTGTGTGTGTTCTCCAGCAGCATAATTTCTTGTGGAAAAAGAAGTTTTAAGGCCTGGCTGATGTGTAGATCAACATAAATTATGATTATTTTTTCCTTAAGTTAGCTCAATTTCAATAACTTAAAGAAGAAGATATAACTACTATTAGGTCCAGTAATTACCACTGGCAAATCCTATCGGAAAATGACATCTAAATTGCCATTGGTTTGGACAATACTAAGTAAAAAAAGCAGATTCTTTGGTAACAATGATCAAAAGAACTACTATCTCCAAACTTAGCCCTTAGAACAATTAAATTACTTTATTTAGCAAATTTATATGTTGTCAATCCAGATGATTTCCTGCAATTTGTATTCGAAGCCTTTTCAATCATTTCAAAACTTTTTAATATTGTTCCACCACCACAGTCTAATGATGATGATGATGGCATTTTATTCGGCTGAAACAAGGTTCATCATAATTACCTGATAAGCAAGAGTGTATGCATTAGTTATCCTTCTCTTTTCTAATTCTTCCATAATCAAATCCACACATTCTTCCATCTCAGCCTTGTATGGATCACCAGCCTCTTCCACATATGCAAGTGGCACCCCATGCGCACTAAAAAATATCATCACCTGTAACGCGCATTCTAAAATAAGATTGTCTATAAATAACAATGTAATGGAATGATGAGGCTAGGTAATGGTTAAAGCTAGAAACTTCTGAGATGTGCATCTAATAGAAGCTTGAGAGGAGCAATGTAAAATTTAAAAGTAAAGCAAGTTTCCTCAAAGGTACGTGCTGAGCACAACACTCAACAACGTGTGACTTATCCTCAATAATACAATAAGTGCATGTAACTAGAAGTACAGTTTAACACAAGCACCTTATTTCACTCAGGTGCATGCGTCATTTTGAGCCTCAACTCCTACAATATTAGAGAAATCAGTGCCTTGACTGTGACTTGACCGTGGATAACATATAGAACCATATTGAAAAAGAGAAGTGTTTTAACTTTTAAGCATCCGTTTAGAAATCATAAATTTAAATTCCAGTCATTTAGAAATTATAAATTCAAAATCCATTAGAAAAAAAATATATTATTTGAAGCAAAAATTAGCATGCTTCAAAAATAACGTGTGGGCACACACCTGCATCCTATGGCCTTATTTTGTTTAAAACGTGCCAGAAAATTTCACTTCAATTTTAACTATATCATGTGACGCCAGGCACATGTTGGATTAGAGATCAGTAGTTCAAATTTTATAATCAAAACAGTAATCAAGATGGATTCAAACAACTAAGAATCAGGAATTTCATTACAAATAACGAAGAAATCAGTATTCTGTTTTAAAAAAAAAGCAATATGAAAGTGGAGTGATTTGTGTCTGACTAAGCAATGAGTCACGCTGCATAGATTATTAGCGTCATCGTGATTTTGACACCTAGACGACATGCATCAAGGATAAGAAAATGTGGAAATTTGTTTTGTGTATCAAATAATGAATATACACAACATAACTATGATACATTATCCATCTTTGACCCAAACACTCATGATATCTGTAGGTCCCACCTTTGATTTAGGGTTTGCCCTTTAAATGTCAAAAAGACTGTCACAGGTTCACTACATTGAGTCTTAAGTGATTCTGGCATGCACACTGCATAATAGTGATCTTCAGGGACAGCTTGGTCATTCCACATTGATAAGAAGACTTTTCAAATGGTCTAAGAAAGGTACATTGTGTTGAAGGCTCACTGTGCAGGCCAATTAGGGTTACAGGCCCTAGCATATATGTTGATTTTTGGCTACAGAGAATTTCAGGGACAATTAAGTTTTTCCACACATGTATTATATCATATACACTTGTGTATAATAGTACATTGTATTGAATTGCTCTTATTCTCAGTTTGATCGAGTGTTCACAGTCACAGCTACAGAAGACAATATATATTGACAAATGTCACTACAAGAGCATCATTTTGGTCAATACAAAATAGCTGAGCATTCTTGTGACACGTGTCCTGTGGTCTTAGTGTGAGGAAATGCAAGTTGTTATTCATTGCTTAGTGATTAAATTTGATATATATTCATATTCATATACATATACATATACATACACAAGCTGTCAATTAGCTTGCTTGCAAAAAGACAAATGCTGTAAAGGTGACGGGTATTATGGTCCATTCACAGAGGACATTACATATTATTCCGTGGCCAATGATTGGATAATGGTGTCGCCAGATATATTTCCTCTTTGAGATAGGATTTATATTCAAGGGCTACTATAGCATTGTTTAGGGTTTAAGCCTTCTTGAAAAACCCCAAGGTAAGGTACATTATGTGAGACCAAAGAGCTGAATATGAACATAGATTTCTGAGATTGTTTATAATGATCAAAGCTTGATTTGAGCTCAGAAATACACTCAGAGTAAACACGAGTAGAATACCAAATAAAGGCCTGTTGCTGTGATTTTGCTGGTGCAGAAGCTGGTTTGGAGGTCTGAGTTTGGTATGAGCATGTTGGGGTGCTGAGACAAGGTTGAGGCAAGTGTAACTTACCATTTTACATCTGCAGAAGGTACGTGTGTGACCATCTTATAGCTGTATTTGATTTTGATGTCTCAGACCTGTGTTTTAGCCTCTTTTACTGGTTTAGCTTGAACTTATTATCACAATATTTTGCTATGAGTTGCATTATTATCATCAGAGCAAGATTCCATTGTTGAATCAAGGCTGTTGAAGTTGAGGTTTGCAAAGAAATAAGATCAACACAGAGCTTGACCTTGTGAAACCCTAGTTCTTGAAGGTTATGCAGAACTGAGCCTATATCAGTGTTGTAATTGTTTATACATGTTATACTCATCATGATTATCATTTGAGCATGTTTGTATTGAAGATATAAGGTTGTGAAATTCATCTATGAGCTTGAACGTACATGAAATTCCATATTTACCCTTCAAACCCGAACTGCTGCAGAATGAAGAACAATTGTTGTGGTTGATACTTTGAGCTTGTGTATCACTCTAATATTGTGTAATAGCTTAAGTATTGTTGTAATACATCTTTTTATATGTATTTGGTGAGCTGTGAGAGTTTGCAGGGTCCAAGCATGATTGCTTAGGGCAGGGAGAGTGCAGAGTGCACTTAGTGGTGCTAGTGTGTGTGTAGAGACTGTGAAAGCTAGTGTTTCATCTTGTACAAGAGTGTATGCAGAGAGTGAGACAGCAGAGTGCGTAACTACTTGCATACAACTAGTGGAGACTTTATTGGCTGAGGCCAAGAACCAAGGTTTTTCCATATTAAGAGGGTTTTCCTTGTAAATGCATTGAGTACTTATAAGTGTGTGTATGCTTCTTGAAACTGTCATCATCCTTGTCACATTGTATTGATCAAAGAAAGAAGAAAATTTTATAGAAGAACCAATTTCATCAATATCCTACTTATTTTTAAAAAATTAGAATTTTTAATAATTAATACAAATAAAAAAATAAAAAAAACTATATGATTATTATTTAAAAATTACTTTTACTATACCTAAGAAAAAGTTGAATTACAATGTTCCAATTATGTTAGATGTATCCAAGAGTGTCCAAAAGTGTTAGCCACATGTCAAAAGCGAAACTTATTTTTAGACTCTGAAAACCAAATTTATATGGAGTTTTGGTAAGAGGTTTACAAAATAATTTAACTGATTACGAATACATAGTTGCATAAGAAAATGTGCTACCTTTCCAGGGCTGTCAAAAAATTTTAGCTCCTTCTCAATCAAATTTGCCATGGCCTTGATGTATCCTTCACGCTGATACCAGGAAGGTATAACTGTATGCTGCATGTTAACTAAGTATTCGTCCTCCCTAAATATCCAATTAGAAAATTCACCAAATGACCAAATTAATTAACATTGTATAGTAATATTGGAACACCACAATGTAAAAGTAGCATAGGTCCAATCATCACCGGAATATACTCTCCAACAGTCGCAGGCTTGAACCACTAGTAGATATTGAAAACTGGGGATATAGAGGGAGCACAACAAGCTTTGTAATTCCATCTCTTTTTATCTATAAAAAAATAAAATCAATGAAAAATGCAACTATTAGGAAATCCACAATTTTTGCACTGTATACTAATCTTGTGAGTTTGACAAGTATCTAAGCCAGAAGACTCAAAATGAACAAAAACAGTTTTGACGTGAATAGGCCCATAGATATATGAGTAATCTTGATTTTGTAAAGAACCACACAGAGTTTATATACCATTACCATTGGGCTCCTTAATTGACCAATCCAAGTTTTAGCACTTCGGGATACATGCACTTGCCCGTGTTGTGTCGTGCATGCACTGTATAGTCAGGCATGGAGTGGCGCGCACACGTGTGAGAGCCATTTCAATCACATGTTTTTCATTTTTGGACTGTTAGAAAGTCTGTCAGTTACGAGTGACTACTAGGATTTATAAGAGAGAGACGTTCAGCCATTACCCATATGTTTTGATCATTTTCAACTGTTTATATATTCTATTTACTCATAGATATATAGGCCTATTCATGTCATCGGTTTTTATTTCAAATTTCAACATCAGCCCAAATAGGCTATAAAATAGCAACGCTACCTCTTCAGACCAATAATATAAAACACCCAATCAATACGTCTATTTCTCAAACCCTGACCAACATTATCTTTATTTTCTACTAATTCTGACTTGCATTCATGGAGGTTACAAGGACTTTAGGAGTTACAATGACATCTCTGCATGTGTGTAGGCCTATTCAGTTGGGTGGTTTGGGCGTTAGGAGGTTGATTGAAAGGGCTCTCCTAGGTAAGTATTAGTGGAGATTCGGTGGCGATCGTCATGGGCTATGGAGAGGAGAGAGGTGGGTGGTCCTCTTGTGCGGTCAATCACCGCACCATATTCTGTGTGTGTATGAGAGGTATGTTGTTTCATTCAGCACTCAATCATGTATTCTCTTTGTGTATGAGAGGTATGTTGTTTTGTTTAGGTCTGCCCAAACTTTTGATATAGATAGGCAACGTAGTAGTAGTAGTAAGAGAATAAGATTTTTTGAGAGTTTAAAACAAAGTTGGAAATTGCCTTCCCGGACAGCTCAATGAATGAATTAACATCACTCCAGAAGCCTTTGATTGATGCCTCGATCAATAAAACCCTTCTGCAGGTTTTAACTTAAGAAAATATTTCAATATAGAAATTTCCAAACTATATTCAGGCATAAATAAAACATTTTCTTTAAATAATTAACATTTAGAAACCCTAAATATGCAATACATGAACTGCTACGACAAACACGGTGAACCAAGAACAAATCAAGAATCAAGCAGAAAAATAAACACACCACACACAAAGAATACAAAGATTTACAAGAACAAATCAAGAATCAAGCAGAAAAATAAACACACCACACAAAGAAAACAAAGATTTATGTGGTTTTGCCTACCACTAGTTCACAGCGAAGATTTGTCAAAAGATTACAATATGCGAAAATAAGGAGATTACAAATTTCAGCCCCCAAACCCTAGCGCTCTCTCTCTCTCTCTCTCCCCCACACACTCTTTCCTGCAGTTTTCAGTGTTCTCTCATATCCCACTCCAAAAACTAAACACCCTTATATACTAGGCTACGAGAGTGTCCTAAACAGGGTCCAAGACCTGCAAGAGAAAAACAGTTCAGTTTTTTTTTTCCCAGGGCCAGTTTTTCAGGTCAAAATGGGGACGTGTTGACCAAAACAAAAATTGGTCCACAACATCACAAGAACCCTAATTGGCCAGTGCATCAAAATGTGAAATTACCTTTTCAACTTGATGAAGATTATCAAAAAAGGCCCTTGAAAGTGGAATAAATTCCATATTCCACCTTGGGAGGTAACTAACTATAACTAACTTTCATCAAATTTCTAAACTAAGTTAGATATTGAAACAAAAGTACAAACTCAAGTTTTGATCTATGAAATTTGCCAACATAAGTGCTATTGACCAAACAAGATCTAAAGAATAAAATAGTCTAGTACACACACACGCAAAGAAACAGAGAGACAATATTAAGTATACCTAACCATTAAAAATATTTCTGTTTTCCTAAATTAGAAGGTTGTGAAGATTATCCTAAAACAACTCAATTCAACATTGATGGGGTCATAGAGCTTTAGTAATTCTTAATTTACTTCAACTCTAATTAGCCTGAGTACCATTCAACTCGAAAATTATCAAGTTCTGTGAAAAAATCAGCTCAACACTCAAAATTGTCAAACTTTATAATAAACACTTAAAATCTTCCAATAAAGCTGATTCAGCCAGCGCTTCTTTGACTATGATTCTCAAACCAAGTGATTGAAAATCTGCCAGGAAAATGATAAAATGCAAATGACAAGCTTCGTGACATAAAGAGCTAATACAAGATGGTACTGAATTGGTATTTTACATTACTTGGTGGAAAGGCAGCACCATAAGTAGGGACAAGTAAAAGAATGAAAATATTTTTCACCATTTTGATCATAAACATCCCGTTCCCTCTAATAAGTCAATAGCTTAATGCGTCACCGATTAGTTATGTAAGTTTCTTTTAACAATCCAGGAAAAGGATGAAGGGTAAACAAACTCCACCGATGTTGGTGCCTTAATTGTTATACGTTAAATGATTTGTGTTGTAAATATCCAGGTACCTGTTCAATAGCTTCTTCAGTGAATGGATGCCAATAACGCATGCCAACATACACCTTTGCTGGGACATTCTTATCACAAAGGGCCTTCCGCAACTCTTCAGCCTGAACAAGGATATTAATAATCAATGAGTAAAAGTGAAATATAAAAAGAGTCACCACATAGAGCATTTTTAAGGGCAGATTTTTTTATTTTTTATAAGTAAAAATGTATAAAAAGCGCTCAAAAGAGGAGCGCATCCCAAGGAACTACACGAGGGAAACGGACAAAAGGCCCTAACAGCTAACGAGCTCAAAAAATCAACTACCTCTAAAAATTTACAATTTCTTCCCATCACCCAACAAAAAATAGAGCAAACAATAGGATACTTTAAAGCCCCAAAGGAAGAATACTCTCCGTCAAAGGATCTCCTATTCCACAACTTCCAACTAAACCACCAAATACAAGAGGGGGTGCCACTCTCCAAAGATCTCGGGTGTGAGGGCCCCACATAGAAACTTCTCCATGCATCAACCAAACCTCGCGCAGACCTAGGCATAACCCACTGAACACTGAACAGGCCGAAAATAAGACTCCAACAGTCTAGAGCCACGGGACAATGCAATAAAACGTGATCAACTGACTCCCCATCCCGCTTGCACATACAGCACCAGTTCACAGCAACCTGTCTTCTCCTTCTCAAATTATCAAGCATCAATCTTTTAAAGGGCAAAATATTTTAAATGGGTATATTTTGTTTATCATAGAGAAATATTACTAACCATCAGCCATGAAGAAAATTGAATTCACTAATTCTGATCCCATTGATAAATATGAGACTTTGAAGTGTGCTTGAAAAAAAATTAGTTAAAATGGTCAAGTTCTTGAAAAGGAAATAAGTTAGAATTACAATGTCCATTAATCAACACATAACAACATTATTGATGTTAGGAAATAGAGCCACATGTTGGCATAATCCTCATCAAAACGTGAATATAATTGTGTCATGGTGTCATTGAGTTGACAGTGAACTTCAGCTACAAAAAAACAGACACGAGGATGCAACGGCAATAAATATTCAATCACTTGGCTAGACTAACAGGTAATGGCCTAGAATGACCCTAGGTTAGTTTATTCTGGGCATGGTTTGAATTAAAACGTGATTTCAAAACTTAAACGTATATATCTTATCAAGTTTCAAAGTTTTTAAACTTACTTAAATGTGAAGAAAAGTTCAGAAAATCATGCATACAAGTTTCAAAGTTTTCTTAACTTGTGTATTAAGAATTTTTTTTTTAAAGTAATGCATATAAGTTTTAAAGGTATCTATACGTACTTAAATGCTATCTATGCACCGACACCAGGGAATTGATTGCATACAAATTGTTTTAGATAACATGCATGCAATTTTTTGTAACTTCAATCTGAGCCATGAAGAGCCTCGATCGATGGATCCACTGCAGCCTTCGATCGATGAACCACCAGTAGGGTTCGATCTGTTGAAAATCTGACTTTATTTTTCTTTACTTATTTTAAGGCTTGATGTTTCCTTATTTTTCTTTCCTTATGTTACGGTTTAACGTACTCCTTTTGTATATATATAAAGAGTGGCTAGTCTCATTAGGAGTCGTTATACATATTTTGATTTTTGGCATCAGAGCCTAATTTCTCTCCTCTCCTCTTTCTCTTTGCGTCAATTTTTTTTCTGCTCCTAAGTTGCGACCAACCCTAGATCACAAACCTCTCTCCCCTTCTCTCCTTTTTTTTTCCCTCTTGCTGCGACTGCCTAGCTATAGAAACCCAAAGGCAGTCGCCTGGTGTGTGCAACAGTTTAGGGAAGATCTCTTCCCATATTCGGACCCCTATTTTGGGGTATTCCCTTAGCATTTGCAATGTGCTGAGTGTTGGTCCTAGTAAGTACCAAGTGGTGTTTGCTGTTGTCAGGGGCTTATTTGTTATTACTTATATAATGTTGGGGTTTATGTAAAATTTCTGAAACTTGTTATTATAAATAGAATGTGGTGGAAGGATGAAAGCATTCTTTCATTCTTTCTCTCTTTCCCCATCTCTCTCTTTTTCTCTCATCTGTTTTCTTCTTCTTTATCACTTACTTTCGATTTGATTATATCTTAAAGTCAACATCGTATCAGAGCATGATTTGTAAAGCTCTTTGTAGTTGAAACCCTAGGGCAAGTTTGTGTAAACCCTAGTGGGTGTGAAGGGTTTTGAAGAGATTCCAAGATGGGATTTGTTTGCAACGAAGTAGTGTTAATCACATCCACACATACCACTCCAACTCCGCGGTGAGTTGGCTGGGGGTTGCAGGGGGCAGCGTTATGTTGATGTTGATTGGGCTGGCTGCCAAGATACACAACATTCTACAACTGGTTGATGTATGTTTTTCGGGTCATCTCTAATCTCTTGGAAGTGCAAAAAGCAGCCAACGGTTTTTAAATCCTCAGCTAAGCTAAATACAGGTCTATGTCATATGCTAGTAGCTAGGTGATATCGCATCATAGACTACTTCTGGAACTCGGAATTCCAATTCTTGGTCCTACTCCACTTAATGCTGACAACACTAATGCTATACAGATTGCTAATAATCTTGTGTTTCTTGAAAGGACCAAGCATATAGAAGTTGACTGCCATATTATTCGAAACCATGTTCTCACAGGTTCAATACAGCTTTCTCATGTTTCCTCTGACAACCAGCTCGCAGATATTTATTCACAAAAGCCTTACCTCATCCACATCATGAATTTCTTACAACCAAATTGTTGCTTGATCAGAACCAGCATCAATTTGCGGGGAGACGTAAATAGTGACAAAAATTATGCCTTACAATTAGGACTAATAGCTAGCATTAACTTGACTTAAATTTAGTTGTTGTAATTATGGGATTAGATTAGCTGACTTACCCTTTACTTAGTTACCGTAATTATTATTATTTTTTTATAAGTAAAACTGTATTAGAAAGCGTTCTAAAGGGGAATGTGTCACAAGAGCTATACAAATACCGAAAGCAAAAAGGGAACTTGTTTTAGGCATAACTCTCTGCTCGGGACTCAGTTTTTAACGCCGTTTCTTCCGTTGTTCGTATTTTCTCATTTGGAATCTTTTTTGTTTTGGTTTTCAAAATTTCCATTTCAAATTCATTTACGCCTTTTTGGCCGTCAGGGGGTCGGATTTTGCATCGGTCATTTCCGGGAGCCGCCCTATGGACCCAAAGAACCTAAAAAGTCCACGATTCATCACCCAACTAAAACGAGAACGAGAACAAATAATAGAAAATTTCAACGCCCCAGTGGAGGATTCCTCCCCTCCCCATCAAAAGATCTTCTATTTTGCTCTTTCCAAAGACTCCACCAAACACAAAGGGGGGTCGCCCTCCAAGAGTCACGAGCATGAACCCCCACCCTGTGGCCCCTCCACATGTCAATCAAATCCCTTGAAGTCCGGGGCATAACCCATTGGACGCCAAACAGACCAAAAATAAGACTCCAGTATTCCTGAGCCAAGGGACAATGCAAAAGAATGTGATCCACAGACTCTCCAACATTCTTACACAAACAACACTAGTTGATTATGATTTGTCTTCTCTTTCTCAAATTGTCCAGAGTCAAAAACTTGCCCCAAGCTGCAGTCCAAACAAAAAAAAGCCACCCTAAGAGGAGCCTTCAAATGCCAAACCGTTTTCCACGGGAAATAGGAACCGAGAAACCCGGAGAGGCAAGGAAAAAAGTAACGGACTTGAAAAGTACCCTGCAAAGAAGACACCTGTTGGAATTTGTATCTCAAATTCCTATTCTAATTATGTTTCTATTTTAGAATTGTATTCTGTTTGGTAATTTTTTGTTTAACAAGTCTTGGCCTCTAAGAAATTGAAATCCTTGTTTAACAAGTAATTGGGCTTGGAACTCCATAAATAGATACATAGGCTCTGGTTGAGACTTATGAGAATGAGAGATGTAATCTCATGAGAGAGTTGATGGATAGAGGTAGTATATGGATTAATAGAGCAGGAAAACACCGGCGACACTGATAGCAAGGGAATAGGCTCGTGAAGTGGCACATGGTGAAAAGGCATGTATGGGGTGTTAGAACTCTATTGTTGTAATATCTCTACGAATCATAGTGAAATCTCTTCTCATCCATGGATGTAACCCTGAATTTGGGTAAACCATGTATATCTTATCTTTGTGTTCGCATACTTTCGCTGCCCCAAACAACACCCAAGTCAAGGAATCCAAACCAGTACCATCCACCTCCTGTCTATACAAAAGGTCTAGCAAGCCAGTCGTCCAACTCCCAATCCCGGAATCGCCGGAATCGCACATCCCAAGACAACCTACCGCTATCGAGTCGATAACAATCAGCTACCAAAGCATGTCTATCAACATCAATCCTGAACAACCTTGGGAACAAACAAGTCAATGGGCGATCCAAGTACCAAGTATCCTCCCAAAATCACTTCCCTTCTAAACTCTGAATCTAATATGCTTAGAACACTCGTCCCATCCCTTCCGAATGAATTTCCACACCCAGATTTGACCGGCCTACATGATCATCCCCCTCTCTCCTCCCCAAAGCGACACGAAATAACCTTCCTCCATAACCTATGTCTTTCGCAACTGAATCTCCATAACCACTTGCCTAGGAGCGCTCTGTTGAAGGGGGCCAACCTCCTTATCCCAAGACCGCCCAACTGAAAAGGCCTACAAACTTGATCCCATCGGACAAGATGAAATTTAAACTCCTCCCCCGGCCGCCCTAAAGGAAGCTCTGCTGAAGCATCTTAAGTCTTCCAAAAATAAAGAAGGGTGTTAGAATGTTATATATATATATATATATATGTTGGGTCATTATGTAATTACATACAGTTGGTAGGGCCCTTGTGTTATTAAGTAAATCTTGTACACTTTATATAAGCCTACATAGGCTTATTAGGGTTGAGTGAGTTGAATATACAAGATATATGTCTGTTCTCTCTCTCTTTCTCATATGATTTTGAACATGGTATCAGAGCTACACGATCATGGGTGTGAGAGTCTGTAATTGGGTTGCTCTTGTATAAGATCGGAATCGCGATTGTGGTGTTGGTGTCTCTGCTGGCAACTCCTCGTTC